TTAGGAAGGAGAAAAATAATCATTACCTTAATAATAACAATTTAAATAGATTTATTCAACGGAAACAATAACATTCCAGCATATGTGATTTGCTTAAACAATCATCCATGTTTGTTAACTAATTTGGCTAAAACAAAATATATATATTTTATATTTATATATTTTAAGAAGCTTAGACTGTCAGCCCCTTCCTCCTCACACTTAATCTCACTTTCTTCTTGTGCAGATCTATTCCACTCCAAACAATCAGAAAAATATTGTTTCTATTCTATTCACTGAACGTCTTGAAACTTAGCACTGAAGGGGTTGATTCTGTATTCATAGGTTTGTAGAAGTTAGGATTAAGGTCTTTTTCTTAACTCTGTTCATGTTATAACATTTTTGCTGTGAAGAGGCATGTGATCTCCGCTGAGTCAAATTCAGTTTTGAGAACTGCAAAAGTAAACCAACATCTGTGATAATATCTTGTAGGCAGAGAAACTGCCCAATAATCTTACAAAAACCTCTGGAAGAGCATGACATTGTGAATGGATTCATGGAATTTATTTACCAAAAAAATTAAACATATACAGCCTTATTCTACATAATTAAAAAACTAATCTTTATTTCATGATGGAATAACCTTTGGGGTAATATATTTTCCTCAAAAAGCATTTTATTTAAAAAAAATCAGTTTTTTTTTTTTTTTTTTTTTTTTTAATCATTTGATTTTTATCCACCCTGGTCTTCACTGGTGGTCACCCGTTTGAACCCACCCTTATCTGGCAATCGAGTTCTCCCTGGGTTCCTGTGTCTTCACAGCAGCGGTAGTCATTCTCCTTCCAACCTCACATCCAACCCGTTTATAACAGGTGCTTCTCATGATGCGGCTGATTCTTTGGTGTGGACCTAGCTCTTGGACAGCTAGTGGCAACCAGTTCTGACAGCTTTCCTCTGTCAAAATCTCTCAAGGTTGCCTAATAACGACACCACTTTTAAGTGAAGCTAGCTTGCTGCCCCAGGCATTCCCATTGCATGTACAAGTCTTGTGTACACTAGAAATACAACAGGTTATATGTTTGAGTAGTGTGTTACAACTTGCTGTAATGTGTCTTGACACACTGTAGCGTATGGTAAAAGCAGTGAAGTAAAAAGAACAACATATCATAATGACACACTGCAATAAACACATTACAGTGCAGCACAATTCAGTTTTTGTCTACATTAACACTCATTGGTAAAATTAGTCATTGTTTCTATACTATGAAAGGAGCACAGCTTAGAGAACAGCTCATTAAGGGGCTAAAGTTAGTTGGCTCTTTACGGGTCCTTTCACATGAACTTTGTCTGCTCTGCTCTGTTAATCAGGAGATCCATGAACAGATTCCCTGCTGAATAGGAACAGAAAGGGACAGGTGTCTTGATCCATCGTGTTTGGGTGCACAAAAATGGAAGAGGATGCACACCTTTTCCGTTTTTGACAGAACACTTGTGAAAGGTCCCTGTTCTAGTGAGGAAAATGAGTGGGAGGATTGCAGGTGCCACTAAAACGTTATCCTCTTGGGTGAATCAACAACAAAATTCTCATCTGATAATGCTATGTCTCCTTTTGCTTGCAGTTTGTCATACTGAAGCCTGATGAAAAGGCCAGGAAAGTGCTAATTAAATACTAATTAAAATTCACAGTGAAATGTACCTAAAAACTGCAAGGGCCCATTTGACCCTTTATTTAAAACACTATTCAGCACACATGGTGACTTTTTCTGATGATGCTTGGCAGTTGAGATTGATAGACAAGTTATAATGACATCCCCAAGCTCATTGTACTAAATGTGTATTCAGCAAGTCAAAATCAGACTTTGTTTGTATGTGCTGAGCAGCCTGCGTTCTGGTTTAAGCCAGAGATTTCTTGTCGGACTCACTGAGCTGCTATAGCTTGTTAAAGATGTCTGACGAGGAAAATATATGCTTAATGATGTGAAACATTTTCAGGATGTATGTGCCCATGGAAATTTCATAGTTCACTTGTCACCTTTTTTTTTTTTTTTTTTCTTTTTTTCTTTCCCCATGTGCTCCTACATATTCTATTTGAGTGCTCTTACACCCAACAACGCTGTAAAATATTGTTAATAAAAACTTCAGTTATAGCGCTGTGTAGAGGTAATTGAGCAGTGCTAATTCACATCATATAAAAACATAATGCTGCTTTTTAAATTGCAAATAGAATTATAGTTTTGATTTAGTGTTTTTTTTAGTTTTTTTTTAGGTTTTTTTTTAATGCGTGTATTTTTAGTTCCCCATTACAGGGCTTGACAAATCCCAGGTGCCAGGTCCCAATAGTGACTAGAAATTGCATCCTGGCACCTGGGTTCACAAGATTTACCTCAAAAAGTGCAGCGCTAATCAATAACAAATGATCAATGAAAATTAGAAAATGAAAGTCCAACATAATCATGCTTCGTTATTGCAAAAACATCCACAAAATGTGCCTATAGTGCATATGCCTATGTTGCTTAAGAGTGGAGTTGGAGTTCAGAGTGGTGTTCCATCATCTGCCATGGATAAGTTTAGGGTTAACCCCTAAAGTGCTGTTGGCTTTTACATTATTTTGAATGCCAAATAGTTCCCATAAGCATCCTCACCGCTGGATCTCTGAGATGTTTTTCCCTTCGGTAGTATCAGACTATTGGGCACCTTTTCTCTTTTTGGATTTCTGGAAGCACTATTTGCACATTTTATGGATGTTTGTGCAATAGTGGAGCACAGTTATGTTAGACTTTCATTTTTTTGATCACCTTTTCTAACTTTCATTGATCATTTGTTGTTTAACGCTGAACTTTTTTATTTACATTTTTGTGAGCTTTATTGTATCTATTAACCTGTGCCAGTGGCTTTTATTCATTTGTTTTATTTATATATCTTCGTGCTGAAATACACATGTTTATACCTGGGTTCACAAATTACCTCCCATTGACTTCAGTGCAAAAATGCCTCCCATTGACTTCAGTGCAAGAACTACTGTCAATAGCAATCCTATGTGAACACTTACCTCCACATGCCACTCTACTCTATCACTTGTGAGTCTGGAATGCACCTCTGCAAGCTCACACAGGACCCTTTTTTTTTTTTTTTTTTTTTCCTCATAATGGCACTCAAAACGCAATGGGTGTGGATTGCATCTGTGTGAACCACCTCCATAGAAACATATAATATCTAGCCTGTCATGGGAATCTGTGAGATTGAAAACACATGGAGAGTCACATAAGTGTGAACCAGGGTGGCTGTTTTCACACCTGGGCGTTTTGGGATTGTAGCAGAACTGCTGTGATTGCAGATCGCAAATTCAGATGCCATTTCAATGGCACCTAAAACGTGGTGTGGTTTTGTTGTAACTGTCGCATGGCAAATTGCATCATGTGAAACTCAGCGCCCAAAAATTGCCTTGCCCCGGAGCGCTTACTGGTTCCTTTTTTTTAACCGGCTTCTAGACTCAAAGCAAAGTCATCAAGCCCTGTTTATATTATATTATATATATATATAAAAATCTGAAGTGTATTGATTTCCATGTGTGGCTAGACTGAGGCTGGATTTATGCTTCTCCATGTCAATGCAGCACACATGGTTACTTTAGCTCACTTGTAGCGGTTAATGGGCCTGTAGTTTTTTCCTTTTGCTGGCCATACACAGCTTGAATGTTGTCATTCCTGCTGAATCAGCAGAAGTTTAGCCCTTGGGTGTCCCTATTGGTACCACCCCATTAGGAAAAACATCAATCCTACAGGCTATAATTGGGCATAGACTATGCAAGTTTAATTCGGTTCCTGAAAAAACAGCCAAAAGTCGCTACATAGGTAGACCTGCCATCACCCTTCCACCCGACATTCTTTGAGTGAAAGAGATGGAGCTGAATGAAAAATTTATAGCTGAACAGCAGCTGCATCCAATCAGTTGCAGCCGCTGTTTAGATATTCTGACAGCCACTGGTGCTGGCTGTCAGCATACAGTAGCCGTATTGTAAACTTGTGGTCCTTCCGTGCTGCAACCCAGAGGCTGACATAGACTACGCAGTCCACGGGTGCAATGTGTTCAAAGCTTTTTGGTATTGCAATATCATCCTTGGCTTAACCCTTTCACTGCCAATGAGGCAAAGCTTCGGTCTATTGCAGTACAGGCTTTTAAACACACCGGGAGAATTAACAAAGCGTTATGCAAGCACAAACTTGTACAACTAAATTTAGACCATGAATCCGATGTGCAAGCCCCTTTAAGTAGGAGCGATCCGGTCTCCGTTCTGTGGCTGTGACAGATACAGGACAGAAAACTGATAGATGTAGCTGCAAGTGACAGCCTCTCTGCCATCCCCTCCCCTGCTCAGCTAAGAGTGGAAGGTGGAGGGGGGGTGCTAACCCTGTGCAGTCTCTGCTTGTGTTGTGTAATATCCGCATGGGCAGAGAGCGAGATGTGACCTGTCAGCAGACAAGGTTGCACCTGTGGGGTGTCTGCGGCAGTTTCTTTATAGAAAACTACCGCATTCCCTCTGTTAATCAGGTGTAGACCTGCGCTATTTTCTATTTTACTCTAAAATATATACTGGAGCAGATAGATCTGAAACTGGTCTAACTGCTCTCTTAATGTGGCACACAACACTCCTGACAATTTCCTGCCCACTATTGTAGCACTAGAAGCATAGTTATTTCCCCAGGCTGTGTTTAGTATAGGTGTGTGTGTGTGTGTGTGTGTGTGTGTGTGTGTGTGTGTGTGTGTGTGTGTGTGTGTGTGTGTGTGTGTGTGTGTGTGTGTGTGTGTGTGTGTGTGTGTGTGTGTGTGTGTGTGTGTGTGTGTGTGTGTGTGTGTGTGTGTGTGTGTGTGTGTGTGTGTGTGTGTGTGTGTGTGTGTGTGTTTTCATCCTGTCACAGTGAAAAGCTGGACACAGCCATAATTTATTTCAGATTTGATTTGCCATAATCATCCTCCTCAGACCTATTTTATTTACTCCTTTTTTTTTTTTTTTTTTTTTTCAGCCCGGAAGTTCACAGACAAGCATGAATGGATAGCTGTTGAAAATGGGATTGGAACTGTGGGAATCAGCAAATTTGCCCAGGTATTGATTTGTCTGGAATGTTATGTTTGAAATCTGCCAGCTAACTGCAGTGGAACCTTATCTGGGTCATTTGATGGACTTTGTAACACATTTTTATATTTTTGGTATGTTTACATCAGTTAATAGGTGCACACAAGCAGTTGTATAGGAGCACCAGATACTCTGAATTCATATAATTATTTTAAAAACTAACTATACTGTAACTCCAGAACTGTGTGCATGGGAGATAAATATCTTTTAATAAGAATTTGAAAAAAAAAAATACATATTTGTTACTAAAACAATGTCAACATACAGACCAATTTCAGCATAACAGAGACCTCTGCAATTAAAGGTTACATACGCAATAGATAAGGATCTGTCAGAAACACTAAAACTGTATAGCATGGCTTGGCTCCCAGTTATATAGCAGTGTACAAAACCAAATGGCATCATGCACAAAAGTATCAAGGATCGGGCTAGAGATCTCTTCCAAATTAAACACTAAAAAATTTGTAAGGTATTACTAACATGTGCAATGCACAAACCAACAGTTACAGCGGCGTAATGATGCCTAATTAGCAAAACTCAATAACGCCATTTCCAGGTATTTCATGTATGTCCTTATGAACCAAAAGCCCTATTTTACAGCTTTTCAATCTCATCATTGAGGTAGACTATGTATAGACAGACCTAAAGTGTTTGTCAAGGATCACTATTTATTTTCATGATATACTTACCTACTCTGTGCAGTGGTTTGCACTGGGCAACCCTGAATCTCCTCTTCTCGGTTTCACTACTGGCACTCCTGCAACAATCCCCCCCTCGCCGAGTTTTCCCACAGCAAGCTGGTCCTACGAGAGTACTCTTGTGTGCTCGCTCCTAAGTTGGCTGTATGTATCCATAGACAAACAGAACGTGATTCAATGCATTGAGGTAAAAAAAAAAAAAACCTTCTGCCTGTAGAACCACCTTAAGGGAGCAAGCCCTAGAACAGAAATCCATGGGTCCAAAATTTTGTTAAACTTGTAGGATGCGCCTCTACATCCTACATTATTTTAGAAGGGTAGAGTTAACGTGTTCATCGCTCCCTTCCAAAGTGGGAGGGCCTGGAGAGATCCATTTTACAGCAATTAATTTGCGGACTGTAAAGTGTAATCTGAAGACCAACACTCTAACATCCAATGGATATGTGTCCTCCTTTAGGTAGCCTAATAAACAGACCAGAGGGGTAAAAGTCAGGTTTACTTTGTATATGCTATCAGTCTCCACGATAAAATGCCATGTACCGTTCCAGCTTGCCCCAAGCATCTTGAACAGTCTGGGCTATCCCTCCTACCCCATTGAAAACGTTTCAAAGGAGTACAGTATACTTTGTGTATCAACAGCTGTGAGCGCCTTTGTGAAGATGACAGTGACACCAATGGAATGGCTCTAAAATACTGTTCCAAATGTCCTCTGTTAAGACACCTGCATCTGCCCCCCAGCCTTTCTTACCAGTGGTTGGGAGGTTGGACATAAAACTATTGAGGAGTTGAGAGTAAAGTCAGAGAAACAATCTTTAAAATCTTTCAGACATATGTATGCGAATGGGGTTAGTATAATGGAAGGAAGGAAGTTTTATCAACGTGTTTATGTATTAGGCCCCTTTCACATGGTGGGTCAGATCGAGTCCCAACTGTCAGCTTTTTAGGTGATCGGATCCTCCATTCAGCCCTATGGACCAGCAGTTGTAAATAGACCTGTGTCCATTTATGCCCACCTACCTCCAATCCAATCTGGTCCACTAAAAATACATAGTCTGTCCACCCCATGTGAAAGGGGCCTTCTAGACCTTGCATTTTTGTAAGGGTATAAGGCAGTCAGAGTTGCATATGCAGGCTCTACTTCATAGTGGTAGATTGTGGTCATGCTTTAATCTGGCCATACATTATACAATCTTATTGAACAATTTTCCTCTAAATTTACCAAAAACCATATAATATGAGGTCAAATCTGAACAACGCTTTCAATTTGCATCCAATTAGCAGGCCCTGGCCCTTCAAAGCTGAAGGTAGATCTAAAGGAGTTTGTATAGAAATTGTACAAGAAATGTGAATCATGTATGGCCAACTTGACAGTTCATCTCTCAGTTCAGCCCTCAGATTGGTTATAAACAGCCCAGGTTACTCCAAATGTTTAGCATCACTTGTAATAATTAGGATGTTGTTTTGAGTGATAAAATTACCATATGTGCACATCACTAATTAATAATGTGTGAAGGCTCCTGTTGGCTATAGGATAAGGTTCTCTGTTTCCTCCCGGCTGGGAACACATCTATACATGCAGTGCTGTAAGCTTTTTACCTCGAGGGTCCATTCCTGACCTCTTTATTCTCCCTTTTTATGAATTGTCTTTTTTGTTTCTTTTTTTTTTTTTTTAATCCCCCATAGACGTCAGTCAGAAACCGTGCATGGAGCAATGTGCCCCCTTGATACGCACACACGTTTGGTGGCTGCCATTCTTACCTTTTATGGTGCAAGTTGTCTTTTTTACCTAATTTTTGCATGGTCTCAGATGAGTTTGAACAACTTTTTGTTTACAGATAATAAATAACAAAAATAAACAAAGAGACCCGTCTGTTGAAGATATTTTTCCATATGACTCCAGTTAAATGTATCTTACAGGTGGCAAACTGCTCACTTTGGATACTGGGGACATGTTCCTCGACCCTAGCAGCTTTGCCCCCCTCTATTAAATCAGGTCAATACTGAAAAAAGGGTGGCTACTCAATCTCTTGGGTAGGAAGAATGTTGTCTGTTATAATAAATAGACTATCTTTCTATTCTGTCTCTGGAAAGTATAACCAGTCAGGTATTGGTGAGGTGGCCTAAAGCAGGCATGTCAAACTTGAATGAAACAGTGAGCTGAATTGATAGGACTACATTTTTATGGAGGGCTCCATTGTATCCAATGAGGGCTGCACCCATGTAATTTCAAAAATAAATAATGGCTCCTCAGAACTTAAAATTACAGTAAAATTGCAGCGTACAAAATGTAGCTCCAAAAAAAGAACCATAAAACATTTACTGAAGTATTTAGCTGAAACATTATGTAAGGAATCATTACCTCAACTGAAAAGCTGTGGTTGCTTATTGTTGTGTTTTTTATTTTTGTTTGTTTTTTTTTTTAACATTATGAAATTACTGCCATAGAGGAAGCCTGAAAAAGCTGCAAGTGACCCATAAACACCAGTTTGGCCTATCCAAGAAGCCCTCCATTAAACCAGTATGAAACCTAGTAATACCACTCTTAAACGGAATGTATTTGGAAGTCTTGCTTCATGACAATGTAAAGGGTTTATTCCTCGTTTTAGGATAGTGGTCAAAGCCATGCAAATTCTTCCGATATGGCCTGGGCCAACTTTGTATCAAGAAGTCTAAGTTTCCTACATAGCTACACAACTGCATAGATACAGTGGTTTCAGGTTTGTTGGCCATCATTAGTGAATTGCATGGAAACAATAAAGGAAGTTACTGTATATATTAAGAAGTTTGTGATGAAAATGAAACATAATTTCTGTTGTAAGAAGCTTCCACTGTGCGACCTAGAAGGTTCTATATGCCGTATCATCTGGTTGTGTCAGAAACACAGAAGTTATAGAAAAAGGTTAAATACTTTATCTCAATGTGGTCATTTAAAAGACATTGGCAAGTTGTGACACAGTAATGTTGTAAACCAACTTTAATCTATCAAAAATAATGCTGCAGTTATAAATATGTGCCCACTGAACACTGTACTTTTCAAGGAGGCTGTCTCCATAGTATAAAAGGTTTGTTGCTTCCCTCATGTGGAGTTCCTGTCAATCACTGTTGTTCACTCAGCTTTTTATGTTCTGTCTCCATAACTGGCCATTTTATAGGTGGATAATAAACAAGTCAAAAGTTGGGATATGACTTAAGCCTCCTGACGTATACATTATTTACATTCTGCTTAAACCTCTTCCCAACTGCATTATAGCCGAAAAAGGGCTACAGCGCGGCTGTCTAGTTCTGGGACGACGTCCATGGACATCATTGCAGAACACGCCCCCAGCAGCGCGCACCCAGTGCCACCAGTGATCCGGTAAATGACCAATCACAGCAGACTTTTACCACATGATCAGCTGTGTCCAATGACACAGCAGATCACTAAATACAGTTGCCGGTTATCAGCTGCACTTTCCTCACACTTTCACAGCATGGGGAAAGTACTGCCGATAACCAGCAATTGTCAGAGACGTGATCAGTGCCCTGATGATCCGTGCTGCCTATCCGTGCCACCTCATCGGTGCCCATCAGTGCTGTCTAATCAACGCAAATCAGTGAAGGAGAAAAATAACCTGTTTGCAAAATTTTTTAATAGAAACAAAAACAAAAAAATGTTTTTTCAAATTTTTGGTTCTTTATTTTTTTGTTTATAGTGCAAATAATAAAACACACAGTGGTGATCAAATACCACCAAAATAAAGCTCTATTTGTGTGAAAAAAATGATAAAAATTTAATGAGTACAGTGTTGCATGACCGAGCAATTGTCATTCAAAGTGCGACAGCGCTGAAAGCTGAAAATTGGCCTTGGCAGGAAGGGGGTACAAGTGCCCTGTAGGCAAGTAGTTAATAAACGTCATATACAACAGTTGTTTCTTTGTGGTTCCAACCAAAAGCATCTGCAGAGACTGGTTTTCCATAGATGAAGCAAATGTAGTCTTCCCCTTCTGTAGTCAGATCGATTTCGGTGATATAACAACTTATAAATTGAAGTACTCACAGCTGAAAAAGGATGATGGGATGTCTGAACACCGCAAAACCCTCAGACTTATTTAAAGCATATAATGGCAATATGCAGGCTTCCTACGAGGGGAACATTGATAGCCTTTCATGGCCTCTGGAAACCTTTTAAAATGTGTCCAGTATTGAGCCTTCTGCACTGAGCTTGCCCTGACGATGTGTTCAGACAGTTTGTGTTCAGGGCCGTTAACCTGCACCCACACAGCTGTCAAATTAAAAGCAGCAGCTGTGACTGTGGAGCTGCTGCGTCCCAGTTGACATGGATGGGACTGCCTACATGGGGATGCACGGAACACCTGTGCAGGCAAAAACAGCACACGCTTGGGTGTACACTATAGCATGCCTGTGTGAACGAGCCCTAAATGTTGCATGAGACTAGTAGAGATATCTGTGTACTATTCTGTGCTCCCACTACAGACTGTTGAGGCCCAAGGGCCACATACCAAATGTCTGTATGTGGCCCATGAGCTGCAGATAGGGAAGGAAGCTGTGCTATTACATGGTTAATGCTCCAATGCCAGGTTATAACACCGGTTTATGACAAGATGCAAGAGATATTCACTTTTTTTGCAAGTAGCAGAGCCCATCCTACTTGGGGACCTTTTTCTTACTGTAATGTATTTTTTTCCTTTAGGAGGCATTAGGTGATGTGGTTTACTGTAGTCTTCCAGAGGTTGGGACCAAGTTGAATAAACTAGGTAAGGCTTGCATGATTTTATTTATATGGAAAATGTCTTCTACAGCATTTAAAAATATCTCTGCTCTATTGATAGGACACAGGAAGGTTTCATGTAATTGCAGTTTGTTTACATATTGATTTTTGAATGCTTCTGTTCTAATATTTTGATTTTCTCCAGGCTGACGTATATGTCACCGCACATGATTAGAGATGAGAAATGTGCCTTATACCCTTTCTAATCCTATTTATCCACTTAAGGATCACCCGCCTGACCACAATGTACTGCAGACAGCTGACCCATGCAGGGAAAGCAATGTACTGATATGTTGGTGCCTGCTCCTGGTTTTAGAGTGCACAAATGTGTGCCCCCCCCCCCCCCCCTGCCAACACACAGCATACAATCACAGAGGGAGTCTGTCAGCAAGTCCCCACCAATGATTCATGGCTGTGACCTGATGATCGGCTGTGTCCAGGGCTGGTACAGAGGCAACAATCTTCTTGTTTCAGGAATAAGAAACAAAGAGATCTGTTAGTAAGGACAGCGTACATTACACATTGTCAGGCACACATTTACCCCTTGATCACCCTAGATCAGGCCTCGAAATGTCTGCTTGCATTGGTGAGTGGAAATAAGGTGGGGGCGAGTGTCCGCCCCCCCCCAGGGCTGTCTTGCTGAGCAGGCTTGGAATGCAGGGCTGGCTCTGTCACTTGCACTGTGAGCTGTCAGACTGCTCAATAATTGAGCAAAGGAATGTGTGTTGCATGCTCTCTGCCTCCCCCTGGAGTGCAGTACCCAGCTCTGTGAGTGAAGGTAACTAAGTACTGCAACTTTTTATAGGTGTGTGTGCGTGTGTGCATGTGTGTGTATATACATGTTTCTGTGTGTAAACATACATGTATGGATGGTTTAGACAGGTTCTGGATGATGTGGTTATTATGGTTGGTGGAGTATGGGGCATTTTAGTTACTGCTGAGTTGGATGGAAGTTAAGATATGCTTGGTAGAATTATAGTTTGGTGAGTGGAAGATTATGGGGGTTATGGTTGTATGCGGTGTTTGGTCTAAATATGATGGTGTGGTTAGGGGGACATTGGATGCCCTGATGTAATGTGGGTAACATTTAACAGTGTCATTTCATGAGATAATTTACGAGGGCGTGTTTAGGGGCGGAATTAGGGGTGAGGCAGGGTAGGGGTAACTGGTGCCGAGTAACTCTTAAGGCCTGGCTAGTAGCTCAGGACTTGAAATTTTGAGCCCTGCCCTAGATGTTAACTCCTTCCCAGGCAGTGTCACTAGCACAGTGACAGTGAATAGTATTATCACAGTAGCAGTCAGTTCAGGCAAACCAATCAGTATACACCTTTACCAAAGACATGTAGCAGAAAACATTTAGGCCAACATTTATGAAGAAATTTTAGGTTTTTTAAAAAAAATTTATTGGATATGGATGTTTTTTTTTAGTTTATCAAAAAAATTAAAAAATCCCAGTAGTAATCAAATACCTCCAAAAGAAAGCTCTATTTGTGTGGAAAAAAAGTGATATAAATTTTCGTTTGGGTACAGCATTGCATGACCGCGCAATTACCAGTTAAAGTAGCGCAGTGCCAAATGGCAAAAAATGGCCTGGTCATGAAGGGGTTAAAACCTTCCAGAGCTGGAGTAGTTACATGATGCATTGGTTTAGTTTTTTTATACGCTAGGTGGCAGTCTGTACTTGTGTCAAACCTGCAATGTTTTGTACACTTTTCTAAAAATAAAAATTGTAAATAAGAAAAATATCATTGCTTTGTAAGGATGGTATATTTAAATCTGGATTTTAACAAAGGAAGCACATGAAGTGACCAAAGTACTAGGAGCTGCAGGCCTTTTTGTGCTGCAATGCTTTGGGGATTCAAATGGGCACATATGGATGGAGATGCCTGATGAGTCCTCCAGTGTCTTTGTAACTGTACATCATACATCTGATCAGCAGCGGCCTATGGAGGATGGCCCATGTCAATAAAAGGTTTTCCTGCTGTCGTGGTGATCCTAAATATGTAATAACTTTAGGTAGCTAATGTTGTAGAAAGGTTAGATTTGGTGTTATAAAGCTGTATTCATTTTGTAGTATAGGAGGTCCTTCCAGAACAAGAAATTTTGCTATGTGCTTGTTTTAAAGTGGTGGTTGGCTGGTTCAGCAGGGACCAGCAAAATTTCGATCCATATATGTACTAGCTGGTTGTACACAAGTTGATGTACCGATCAGCTTGTGTGCAACACTGATCATTGTGTTCTCCAGGCAGGGAGGGCTTCTTGCTGGCAAAATGAAATGGCACAGCGGGAGGATTGCCCCATGCACATCAAATGTGTGGATGGGGGAAATCAGCTTTTTTTTTTTTTTTTTTTTTTTTTTTTTTTTATTCAACCTGCTGGCTGAACAAGACAAAGAAAATGAATCCTATATGGCCTGCCTTACACACAATGTACTTGATCTGCAGAAGTCATGTTACATTTGGGCATTTTATAACATGTCTCTGATTTTCCATAGAGGAGTTTGGAACCTTAGAAAGTGTTAAGGCGGCTAGTGAACTTTTTTCTCCACTGACGGGAGAAGTTACAGACATAAATGGAGCCTTAGCTGACAACCCTGGCCTGGTGAACAAATCCTGCTACGGTGAAGGTAAACACAATTAAGTGCCAAGTAGAGTTGTATTTAGACTGGTGCTTGCTGCAGCCATATCATTACTATACACCAGGGGTAATGAATAAAAATTCAAGGAGGTCTGGTTACTAAAATTTTCTTGTGGCCGAGGTCCGAAAAGGGCGTGCCCCCTTGCATTAGGTGTCGCCACCAGAGTGCAACTTTACATCATGTATTCCCATCATATCAGTCATATGTACTGTGCCATGTATTGTCCCCCCTATTGTACAGCGCTGAGCAAACCCTTTGGCACTATATAAACTCGTAGTAATAATAATAATAATATCAGTTGTCCCCATCAGAGTGCTCCTTTACATCAGGTATCCCCTTCACAGTGCCACCTTACATCGGGTATTGAAAATCAAAGTATAAAGCAGTGCGGCAGTACTTTGATTTTCTGTACATTGTTGGTGTTGAGATTGTGGCACCCTTAGTGCTGGCTGCTGAGTTATATTAGTATATTTAGTGGCGCAGGAGACATCTCTTTCATTACATCGGGTATTCCCGTCAGAGTGCCTCTTTCCATCAAATTTCCCCGTCAGAGTGCCCCTTTACATAAAATGTGCCTATCAGAGTGCCCCTGTAAGACTATGCCCTTCCTTGAGGGCAGAGAGGAGCTGTGCCGGGATCCTTGCTGAAGGATGCTTGTGTACAGGCAGGGAGCTGGAGAAATGGTGGGCTGCAAAGGGTGGGGTGCACATGTGATGTCATCGGTTGCCGTGATGACTGCCCTGCTCAGCGGTGGATTTGTTATTGCGGGCTGGCGGTCCAGAAGGGAGCGAAGCTGGGGCCGTTCTCGGATCGCGGTCCGCTATTTAGTGACCACTGCTATACACTGTGGTATTCTACCTCGTATTTCATTGTTTTCATTAAGGTTACTATAAATCTAATAACCTACATTAAAAGGGATTTTTTTTTTTCCGTTAAAGTGTATTTCCAAGGAAATCAGAAACACTGTTTCTGATTGGGTCTCCTGCCAGCCATGACAAAACGCCTGGAGCTGCAGTAGATAAAAAAAAATCTGTGTTTCCAAGAATCAGAAGCAAGTTTCTCTGAAAATCCCTTTTAACTGGAGGTCTTAGCAGATTGCCATGTGAACCTTTTTGAAAGAATTGTAGTGGGTAGTTTCAGTTATTTTCATTGTATTCACAGGAATCCACATGTGGAGAAATGTATGGTGGAATGTGTGCAGCCTGTACTTGGAATGCACATAGATCAATAGAGGAACAATATATATTTTCATAACTTAGAGTTTCTAACACTAACCAACTTCAAATATTCTGGAAAGTTAGAAATCAGGTCACTGTGCATGAGTCAAGTGTTTCACAGGATCACCTGCTTCCTCTGGACCTCTGGTGGTTTCAAGTACATATAAAATAAAGTTGTGAGAACACATACAACAATTGCAAACTCAGTCAGACATCATTAAAGGGGAGCTCCAGTCACAATAGAAAAAAAATAAGTCAGCAGCTACAAAAAACTGTCCTCATTGCAGCTGGCTTCACTAACCGCCCTGTCACCCTGGCATCTTCTGTGTGTACACGCAGCTGTGACCGCTTGTGGCTTCACAGCCGGGTGCCCACTGCACTTTCTGAATGGTCCTGTAGTCCTCTGTAACCTGTCCCAGAAGACTATGGGGGGACAACTTCCATTACCGATCGCTTAAGCAATCACAGCAGAAGTGGGAGCAGATACCTGTCAAAATTGGGTACACGCTAACCAAAGGTGCCATCCGGGGGATGAAACCTTAAAGCGGAACTTCCCCTTATGGGTGAGCTCTGCTTTAAGTTGCATAGTATATGGAATATTCTATATGATATGCAAATTAAAGTGGAACTCCAGTCTCCCTCAATCCAGCACTGCAATTGGGTTCATAGGCCGTCCTCTGTCCACAGTGAAGGCATTTTAACTGTGGGCTTGCAGCTGTGGTGCCCACTGCCCATGTGCGAGCAGCGCTGCACATAATGAATGGTCCTGCAATCTTCTGGGACCTGTCATGTGTCCCAGAAGACTGCGGGGGGGGGGGGGGGGAGGAGAACTCCCGCTTCCGATCGCCTAGGTGGTCGGAGCAGAAGTGAGAGCGGGTACCTGTTAAAATTGGATATGAAGGGATGATGCCTCTTCTGGTGAAATAGTGGTGTGAACCTCCTGCGCTCACAATAATATTAAATAATATTAATAATTAAATGTGAGAAGCTGCCAACATTAAATCATATATCTAATGATTCTTAAAACTAAAATGTGAGAAAAAATGTGGCGCTAATCACTAGCAAATCAAAATACAACAATATGAAAAAATATATAAAAAAATATATATATATATCCCCTCAATTATAAGTGAATAAACATATCTATTCAATAACCTCGTGTCTATAAACACACGAAAAAAACTCCTATAGCGATAGTGAAAAAACAGTCCTATTGACTAATCTTAGTGCGTGTTTTACCAAACATATATAGACACATAAGATGCACTTAATATATGTACATATGTATATATACACACACACACAAAACTCATAAAAGTGAATAAAAACAGGATCATGTGCACAAGTGAACTCAAATTAGTGCAAAAATACACACAATAATAAATTTTCATGCGTTTTAAAAAGTCCAACTTTCAATAATCACACTCCAGTGAAAAAAATAACTCGTGCTGATATCCGTGTGAAACAAAACGTGAATTGGTGGCTGTATAGAAAATCATCCGATAACCGGCTGAATGAGCCTCTCACCTTCCAGACTCGACCCTTGCGAGTCAAAACGTTTTTATATAGGATCCCTCTCACAGATCCTCCAGGTTGATATCACTCCAAATGACTGCTCCCAATATATACGGATCTCCCTCTAGGGATCACGATTCCAACAATAGCTCCTTCTCCAGGCAGGATCACATACTGCGCTAACCACTCACATGTAACATAAACACAAAGCTCCCATAGCGTAATATGTTTATTGCCAAAGTGTGGTAAAATAGAATGCGCACTTACATTGGTGAAAAACAAGGCTCCTACCACATGCTTTTGGATGTTATCTGCATGGGTGTACAGGATAAGAAAAGGCGCACCAAGATGGCCGCCACGCCGGAAATACGTCACTACGTCGGGCCTACGCGTTGCGTCACAATACCATGTGACTTCCTCAGGAAGATGGCCGGCGTGGCGGCCATCTTCCTCAGGAAGTCACATGGTATTGTGACGCAACGCGTAGGCCCGACGTAGTGAGACTATTTCCGGCGTGGCGGCCATCTTGGTGCGCCTTTTCTTATCCTGTACACCCATGCAGATAACATCCAAAAGCATGTGGTAGGAGCCTTGTTTTTCACCAATGTAAGTGCGCATTCTATTTTACCACACTTTGGCAATAAACATATTACGCTATGGGAGCTTTGTGTTTATGTTTACATGTGAGTGGTTAGCGCAGTATGTGATCCTGCCTGGAGAAGGAGCTATTGTTGGAATCGTGATCCCTAGAGGGAGATCCCATTGTCCGTATATATTGGGAGCAGTCATTTGGAGTGATATCAACCTGGAGGATCTGTGAGAGGGATCCTATATAAAAACGTTTTGACTCGCAAGGGTCGAGTCTGGAAGGTGAGAGGCTCATTCAGCCGGTTTATCGGATGATTTTCTATACAGCCACCAATTCACGTTTTGTTCACACGGATATCAGCACGAGTTTTTTTTTCACTGGAGTGTGATTATTGAAAGTTGGACTTTTAAAAACGCATGAAAATTTATTATTGTGTGTATATTTTTGCACTAATTTGAGTTCACTTGTGCACATGATCCTGTTTTTATTCACATTTTTATATGAGTTTTGTGGTGTGTGTGTATACATACATATGTACATATATTAAGTGCATCTTATGTGTCTATAACTATGTTTGGTAAAACACGCACTAAGATTAGTCAATAGGACTGTTTTTTCACTATCGCTATAGGAGTTTTTTTTTGTGTTTATAGACATGAGGTTATTGAATAGATATGTTTATTCACTTATAATTGAGGGGATATATATATATTTTTTCATATTGTTGTATTTTGATTTGCTAGTGATTAGCGCCACATTTTTTCTCACATTCTTCTGGTGAAATATTACAATTAACACTCCACTCCTGTACATATGTTTTTTTATCATTCATGTGGTACCTTGCTGCCTGCAAGCTGTGATTTTACTGACTGACTCTTGTACTTCAGAAGGCAGGCTCTGAATTGTGTGACACAGCAGTGAATGTTCATAGGGCATAGGAAATGTCATGGCATTCAAGGACGTAAATGTGTGGGATTCTTAAAAAAAAAAAAAAAAAAAAAAAAAAAAGTTTTTGAACTTCAAGATTGTTCTGAACAATAGGCTAGAAATAACAGAAATCCAACGTGGAATATATGATTTTACATTTTGCCCATAGATACCTTTTTTAACTCCTAGGTTCAGGCTTTGTGATTTCTTTTCCCTATGTTTGTCTAAAGTGATGTTGTGTGAAGGGAAATATGACTTTTGCCATTACTGACTGATCCTTACACATGTGCTGTTTCTTGCTTACAGGATGGTTAATAAAGATGACTGTGGGCGTTCCCTCTGAACTGGACGATCTGATGAGTGAAGATGCATATGAGAAATATGTGAAGTCCATTGAGGAACACTGATCCTATGAAGGAACATGTCCAGCTAGACATCGTAGTCATGTTTAGAGTCAGAGTAGCGGTTTACGCCCATGTTTGCGGGATGTGCCTACTACAGAGGTAACTGTTAACTACGCTTCCCGCCATGTAACCTAAGTTGGACTGGCCGACACAGAAGCAGCTTCAGGATCCTCCTAATTTTTTTTTATTTTGCGGAGAAATTACTTTGAAATTTTACAGATCATACAAATATAATTATTCAGATAGGATAGTCTTTATATTGGTTTCCTTTATGTGCTTTCCTCCAATTTTGAAAGACTACATTTGAAAGTTTCCAAAGACTGCAAAATTCTTCCTGTACTGGAATCACTGTAAATTGAAACAATAATGTTTGATGGAGATCGTATTTTTGATAACCATGATGAATGACTGTAAAAGCCCCACTGCAGGTTTACCAGCAACACTGTGTAATAAAAACATATTGACATGTTTGCTGGCCGTTTGTTTCCTTGTAGTAATCCACTGAGAGGAGTTTCTGGTTTACCAATGGTTTGCTTGCCTTGTTTTTAAACTAGTGAAATGTGATGAAGAGGTATACCCCTCTGTTTTCACCCGGTGATCCAACCAATAACACACTTCCTGTCTTAGGGTGGTCCGCATTCTGGATGAAGTTGTAATACAGACACCTTTTTGGACAGCAGCATTGTCAGTCTGGGGAGAGGGTAGAGTTGAGAGTACTGTGTGCCCTTGTGTACTGTGAAATGACCTACCGGTATGTTGTTTTTGCCCCAATATTGTACTTGTACTTTGAGTGATGATCTGATGAGTGAAGATGCATATGAGAAATATGTGAAGTCCATTGAGGAACACTGATCCTATGAAGGAACATGTGCAGCTAGACATCGTAGTCATGTTTAGAGTCAGAGTAGCTTTTACGCCCATGTTTGCGGGAGTCTATTGAGGGAAAATGGTATTCAGCTACAGCCAGCCCTGAATATGAATTATGAAAGGTCCTAGCAACAAAACCCAAAGGGAGAGCGCAGAGGATAAAAATGATGCTTCATACTGTGATGGAAATAGTTGCCAACAGCAGGGAAAACACAAACCTGAGCCAGCAGGAGCCGATCAACCAGAAATCATCAAATGCAGGTGTATGGAATTAAAACTATTTCCCAACAAGGATTAAAGACCACCAACCCTGCATTGTCAACTGAGCAAAACACTGGGGCACCACCACTACCCACCAGCTGGAGCAGGTCCTAGAGTTAACATCGAACGGAAAAGAGACAAGAAATAATAGGTGCTGTTCATGTTCTGGCCAAAAACCTGACTTTCCCCAATGTCCAGGGGAAAACTGTTACCAAAGGAGGTCATATGAAAGGGCTGCCATGTCTACGCAAACGGGGGTCACTCAGCCCGCATTAGTGTGAACCTAGCTTTGGAGAGACATTGGCGGTCTAAACAGACCTCTGTCTCTTTTTTGAGACAGAGGGACTGAAGACGGTCCTTTTTCTCTGAAGCCTGAACTGCACTGAAGATGAGTGAGATAGGAATCTGTATAGAATCCTTTCATTCATAAAATGAAACCTAGTCTTTACTATGTTTCAGTCACAAGCTGACAGATAGTAAACACAGTTTAAGATCTGCCAGTGATTAATGAATACAGAAGCGATCTGTACCGATTGTTGTCTGTATTCATTGAGGAAAGAAAGGGGGCTCGTTGCTGGGGGGAGCTGTAATTAGTGTAGGCAGTGTTAGGGACAGGTAAATGGGGGGTGGGCTGACCGAAGCCATGGCAGAGAAGCAGCAGCAGCGGGGGGGGGGGGGGGGGGGGGGGGGTGATGTCACATTTCAAGTTAATGGCCCTGATCAGTGGCTTGATTAGCTGCTGATCAGAGCTATCCTTTCTGTTCAGCAGAGTCTGCTTAAAATTTCTGCTATACGTTCATCATAACTGACGTGACCAAGAGCACATGCACATTTTTTGCAGGTAAAGAAAAAAAATGTGCAGTTTGTTTAGGAGCTTGCACCCAAGATCAGCAGATCGCAGGTGAAATGTCAGGCTCCTGCAGCCTGTTTGTTTACCTGTGTGCTCCTAGCTGGTATGGGATGGCAGTTATACAATGACAGGAAGACTCCATTAACTACCTAGAGTGTTCACTGGCTCCCTGGTAGTTCACTGAGAACTACAAGCTGACGGCCGCAAAGGATTTTGGTACTTGTAGTTCATTCATTGGAAACGGTGAAAGAATTATGCGGCTGTGTGAGTGGAGCCCCGCACAGCTGAACTCTTTTCAAATTGTGATGTGGGGAGAATATCCCTGGTGCACTGTCACAATCGGCAGGAGGATTGGAGGAGGCTGCAGGAGTGTTCCACCCTAAAAACAGGTGCATCATGTGTAATGTTCCCAAAGGTGAACTTGTCCTTTAAGTTCAATGCAGCATCAATAGCAGTGGAGCAAGAACCTGGAATTTTAGCCAAAATGCTAAAAGCATAGCATACGTCTGATGAAGGGCAAAACAAGGGAAGGAAACTAGGAGGCTGCTGAACAATCAAGAAGAGAAGACGAATCCCACCACTGAAAGGGTCCAACAAAGTCTTCTGCGCATGCTCTGTCCTCTGCAAACTGTACTTTCATCTGGATACCAGGGCGTTCCACCAATAGGAACATTCCATTTCCAAGTCCTTCATCCTGCAGATGGAGCAAGGCTAGGATCCTCCACATTATCAAGCTCAGCGGTCAGACAAATCTCATTGGCACAGGACACTCCCTATCCTTCCTAGAGGCCCTGGAATTCCTGCAGTGTATTCAACAAAGCCTGAAGCAGACTGCTTAGACAAGACAGGATTCCTCAATATAAGGGGAACTATTTGTTCAGAAGGTAGTCCAAGAGCTGGAGGCATTCTAGCAAGTGGTGTTGCATATAAAAAAAGGTCAGGCGTCTACCACAGACACCTAAAGATTGACTGAGCACAGTGGGACTATCTGAACTTCAGGTAAGACCTTTCTCAGCAAAGTTTGAAAAAACAAAAAGACATCCATCCTCTTTGAACACTAGCAAAAAAATTAGGTATACTGGGTAAAGGAGGGTTATAGTGGATGCTCTTTTTTTTTTTTTTTTTTTTTTCCCCCCAGTATTCAAGCCTCATGTAAACAACAGTATAACCAAACGATCTGAATTATTGTGTCCCTCAATATTCCTTAAAAGGATAAGTTTACCATTATAGAAAAATTAATAAATGCACAAGTTTTTGCAGAAATAGAAAAGGTGCATTTAGAATTTTTTCCTGCAGGAGCCTGGAAAGCATTGCACCTCATGATCAATTAATCACGAGTGAAATGTGGGCTCCTGCAGATGTGACCTGCGGCTTTCAGCCTGTACCTCTGTATGGGCTTTCTGTTTGAAAGCCAGAAGACATGACATTGAGCTATGGGGTGCTCATCTGTTAGTCTATTAATTCAAAATGATCTGTGAATGAATAACACAGCTGTGTTGGCGGAGCCTCGCACTGCTATGCTGTGTCTAGAAAGTGACACTGGGTTCGGGCAGAAAAAACCCCCACCCATTGTCACAGGAAGACGGGAATCAGAATGAGAGGAAATAGAAACGAGAATATGTTCCAAAGGTGAACTTCGCCTTTGAAAGATAGGTCCATCTTTAGCAACATCTTACACCCATATTTATGTAACATATTACAAACTGAACAGCCCACACCCATCTACACCCCTTTCTGAGTCCCCTTTGTGATAGCGGGCCAAGGATCTTGTCCCCCCCGGCTGTCACAATTTTTTAAAAATGCAGGACCCCCACCCACAACATTCACTCTCAGAATTCTGTGAATAGGAGAACTACAGTCAGCCATTGCAGCTGATAGCTGCAGTTCTCATTGAACTACTAGGGCATTGTTGTGCGTTCTAGGTAGTTTATTAACCATTCTGTCATTCAGTAACTGCCTACTCAAATGAGGTACGAGCAGACAGCTACACTGACAGTTTTCAGGAGCCTGAGATTGCACCTGCAAGTTGCTGATCACGGGTGCAATGCTTTACAGACTCCTGCTAAAATAAATAAATGTACTTTAGGTGGTATATGTGTTCCAATACAGCTCTAGGCTTCTGCGTACATCCTGCTGTGCTGAAGAACGCACTGCTTGACGAGCCACTAGTGAGAGTACCACTGAGACAATGCTGCACCGGCTCACCTCATGTTAGGCTGGCCCTACACTATACAATTTTCTGTCCAATTTCCTTTAGATTTACCTTCAACTATGTAGTGCAAGGGCCTGCCTGATTGGATGCAATTGAAAGTGTTGTTTAGGTTTGACCGCATATCATATGGTTTTTGGTAAATCTAAAGCAAAATTCTCAAGAAAATTGTATAATGTATGGCCAAACTAAGTCAGAGCCTTTTATACGGGCTCACAGAAGCATACCATACGGTTATCATTTAAAGGAAACCAGTAAGAGAAATTATGAAAGTGTCAATTTCCAAGCTCTTCATTTGAAAATGCTGGCGCTTGTTCTAAAGGCTTTGATACTTTGAGTCCTTGAATGAGGACAGTTATGCAGATTACTAGTTCTATACTGTAAAAAAAAAAAAAAAAAAAAAAAAACCCGCTGCCAGATATAAAAGGAAAAGCAGATGGCAAAAAAACCAACTGGACAAATTGGGCACAACCATCAATAAAAAAAATTGCCATGCTAAATATATAGAAAATAAAAATCCTGTGCAAGTCAATATGGAAATTCCATTGTTACTGTTTCCTGAGATAGTGAAACTTCTATCAACGCCATTCTGTTATCCACATCGCCATAGGAATAACACCAGAGATAAACAGCACGTTCTCCCATCACCTTCACATCGCTTCCAGTGTGAAAGAATACTCATAAATAGCATGTAAAAGAAGCAAGGGTGCTTACATAGCGTAAAGCCATGTTTATTAAAACCAAAATGTAACTACCGTATTTTTCGCTCCATAAGACACACTTTTTTCCCCAAAAAAGGGAAAATGTCAGTGCGTCTTATGGAGCGGCTGGTCCGGTATTTCCACCGCTGTCATGTCAGAATACCGGGCCGGCCGCTCAGCTCTGCAGCAGGACCTTACCTGTTCCTCTATCCAGCGGCGCACTGTCTTCCCGGCTTCTGTAGTGTGGGCGTTCGGCTTGACAGCCGAGTGCCCAGTGCGCATGCGCAAGAAGCGCTGCGCTTTGTGAATGGTAAGGCGGCATCTGGGACACATGACAGGTTCCAGAAGCCGCCGGACCAATCACAAAGCGCAGCGCTTCTCGCTCATGCGCACTGGGCACTGTCAAGCCCAGCGCCCACACTACAGAAGCCGGGAAGACAGCGCGCCGCTGGATAGAGGAACAGGTCAATTCCCGCTGCAGAGCGGACACTAACCAAAGAACAACTCCGCGGAAGTAAGAGCGGATACCTGTCAAATTCCGGTACCTGCTCCCCCCCCCCTCCCCAAAGGTCAGCAGTCATCTCCTGTACTGTCCGCAGTCTCCGGTCATCTCCTGTGCTGTGTCCGCAGTCTCCGGTCATCTCCTGTGCTGTGTCCGCAGTCTCCGGTCATCTCCTGTGCTGTGTCCGCAGTCTCCGGTCATCCCCTGTGCTGTGTCCGCAGTCTCCGGTCATCCCCTGTGCTGTGTCCGCAGTCTCCGGTCATCCCCTGTGCTGTGTCCGCAGTCTCCGGTCATCCCCTGTGCTGTGTCCGCAGTCTCCGGTCATCCCCTGTGCTGTGTCCGCAGTCTCCGGTCATCCCCTGTGCTGTGTCCGCAGTCTCCGGTCATCCCCTGTGCTGTGTCCGCAGTCTCCGGTCATCCCCTGTGCTGTGTCCGCAGTCTCCGGTCATCTGTACTATATCTGCAGTCCATTGGTTCAGAATATTTTTTTTCCCTGTTTTCTGCCTCTAAAACCTAGGTGCGTCTTATGGTCAGGTGCGTCTTATGGAGCGAAAAATACGGTACTCACATTCATATAAAATGTTAAAAACATTGAACATGTATAATACCAATCCCAGGAATCGGCTGCAGTTGTTTCCTTGGAATTCACTGCGTAAGGAGTTTAAGCTCTGCCCTACGGGTATCGTCACAAATGACGTCGGGTGCCCTGACAAAGTAATTGGTGACAAAATGAACAGTGCAGAGCCTACACTCATTACATCATCATGCAGAGAATTACAGGGAAACAACTGCAGCTGATTCCCAGGATTGGTATTATGCATATTCAATTACTTTTTATCACTGACTGTTTTCATTAGTTTGGACACTTAGTCTTGAGTCATTTCTGTTACACTTGCACAGGATTTATTTTGTTACATAGATTATAGATTACTAGTTCTGTTTGCCCTTGGACTTTGTTTTCTGAGTGCTTGTTCCTTGTCAGTTAATTAGAAAGGACTGACGTTAAAGGCAGCAAAGCACCCAGCGTTTACAGAAGGCTTGATGTTTTTTTTGTTTGACAGCACCTTGTGATCTTAGGGCCTAAGAAAATAGCCCATGTCACACAGCCCACATTGAAGGGTCAATGGACTTTGAGATGCAAATGCAGTGTGCTTTTGACAGTAACTTGCAACACTTAGACTTGGGGGAGAGACATTCTGACAAAAACAATAATACATTTATAAATTTTTATTTTTAACAAATACATAAATAGGTTCACCAGCCATTGCAAGCAGTGCAGTGTTTGGATGGAACTAGTTAGCTAGATGAAAATAGCCTGGAGGGATTGTAGAAAAGGGATCACCGCTGGGAGTTCTGCGGCTTTTATTCCTGGGGTCTCTCATTTGTGGAAGACCCTCTATGATCCTGGTAGTTCTCTCCCTCCTCTCATACATCTGTGCTCCTTCATTGATAGTGCTGGCTGTGAAATGACGCTCATTCATATAAGCAATGGTTTCATCCCGCTTGCGGCTCACATAACCTTTTAGCACGGTGTTGTAGGGATTGTCTTTTGCATCGGGCTGGAGTGTCTTGTATTTGAATTCCTTCCTGGTGATGACTGGTAGCAGGACCTGGCCTGTGCTGCTTTTGATGACATCATCATCTCCGTCAGGACAGCCCAAGGTGAGAGCCAGGAGCTGATCAGGAATAGACACCATGTCAGAGCCAGACACCTTGTCTACATATTCACAGTGTTTCCGTCGTACTTCAACCACATCCCTGAGGGACTGTTCCCGCCTCTCCTCCAAGTCCACCACTATGCGGTGAGGGTAGTTCTGACCTAATGCTATACCTGTGCAGAAATCATAAAATGTGTAAGACTATAAAGCTAATTTGGAACCAAAATATAAACATTACCTAATAAGCATGTACAAGTCTGAATAACATTTTTTTTTAACCACTTGCCCTCCAGAGGATTTACCCGCCTTCTTGACCAGGCCATTTTTTGCCATACGGGTCTGCGTTACTTTAACTGACAATTGCGTGATCATGCAATGCTGCATTCAAATTAAATTTATGCCTTTTTTCCCCACAAATAGAGCTTTCTTTCGGTGGTATTTGATTGCCTCTGCATTTTTAATTTTTTGTACTATAAAAAAAAAAAAAAAAAAAAGACCGCCAATTTTGAGTAAAAAAACAATATTTTTGACTTTTTGCAATTAAACATGTCCAGTAAAAGAATTTTAAAAATACAAATTTCGTCATAAATTTAGGCCAAAATGTATTCTGTTCCATGTCTTTGCTAAAAAAAAAAATCCCAATACGTGTAAATTAATTGGTTTACGTGAAAGTTATAGCATTTACAAATGGCGGTATATATATACTGGAATATTTTTTTTTTTCATATATACTAGTAATGGCAGCGATCAACGACTTATAGCAGGACTGTGATGGGCATTCTGACAATGGGGGAGAACGGACTGTCGATGACAACCCCAGTGACACCAATACAGTGATCAGTGCTAATAAAAAGCACTGACACTGTACTAATGGAACTGGGCAGGAAGGAGTTAACATGAGGGGAGATCAAAGGGTTAACTGTGTGCTGTTTTACTGTGTGCTGTGTGTGTTTCACTGTAAGCACATTGCTTTGTATGGCTCTGCTAGCTGACAGGGGAAAGATCTGTATTGTTTACATACAGGTCTCTCCCCCGTCCGTGACACATGGTGATCGCCGGGTGGTGGTGGGGAATCACTGGCCGGGACCCGGTGATCGACAGGTGAGGCTGCCAATGGCGTTGCGGGTAGGACGCGCTCGTCCCCTGCCCAGAGATGCAAAATCACGTGTGTGTGTGTGTGTGTATACACGCCACCATCAAACCCGCCCCACAGGCCAGAGTACTTGGTGTCATTCTGGACTCCAACCTATCCTTCCAGCCCCAAGTCCAATCTTTAACAAGCTCGTGCAGACTCTCACCTCCGCAACATCGCCACAATCCGCACGTTCCTAACCCCAGAAACCACTAAACAGCTCATCCACTCCCTCATCATATCACGACTCGATTACTGCAACTCCCTCCTCACTGGCCTGCCTCGCCGCTGGCTATCCCCGCTTCAGTCGATCCTGAATACGGCTGCCAGACTCATTCACCTTTCCAACTGCTCTGTTTCCGCCACCCCCCTCTGCCAATCCCTCCACTGGCTTCCGATTGCGCAACGGATCAAATTCAAAATCCTAACACTGACGTACAAATCTGTCCACCATACTGCCCCGAACTACATCACTGACCTAATATCCAAGTACCGCCCAGCACGCACACTCCGCTCCTCACAAGACCTCCTTCTCTCTAGTTCCCTGGTCTCCTCCTCCCACGCCCGCCTCCAGGACTTCTCCAGGGTGTCACGCATCCTCTGGAACTCCCTGCCCCAACCCATCAGATTATCACCTACTCTCCTCTCCTTTAGGCGCACCCTGAAAAACCCACCTCTTCAGGGAAGCCTACCTCACCCCCTGCTAACTTGCCGACCTCCTCCACTCTTCCTACCACTCCATCCCCCACAGCTATCTCCTCCTGTGCCACCATCCCCTCCCTCCTAGATTGTAAGCTCGAAAGAGCAGGACCCTCGATCCCCTCATGGTTTGCATTGTATTGGTATTGTTCTGTCACATGTTCTGTCTCCCTTTGTAATGTACAGCGCTGAGCGAACTATTGGCACTTTATAAATACTGTATAATAATAAAAATATATATATATATACACACACACACGTGAATTTGCCCACCTATTTTGCGTAGTATTTCTGCTATGGGGTCGCAGGGAAAGTGGTTAACAAAATTATGTATGCTGCTATTGTTGACCTTTACTTTTGAAAATGCTAGTTGCCTGGCTGTTACCCTAATTCAACTAGCCCTGTGAAAGCCTTGACTTTCAGAAAGCCGAAACTTGTACAGGAAGTTTAGTTTGTTCTGGTGGCAGGAAGGAAAATACTTTTGCTAGTAAGGGTGAAGTTCAGCTCTGCATTCAATTTTGCAAGTCTTATCCTGAGCACCTTGAACATATCCTTGCTACCAGTAGAGGGAGCCTCAGCATAAGACATTTTGTCAATCTGTAGAACAGATTTTATAGCTGCAATGTGATGCAGTTGAATACATTTCTTTTTGTAAAGCATGTATTTAATGCATCCACCTTTGTGGCCTTATTTTTTCCAGTATGGTAAACAGAAATGTATATAGTCTGGCTTGTTTGTCCTAACATGTATCTAAAACCAAAGATAGTATATTGCACCTTACAGATCTTGGTATAGTGGCTGCATTCATTTTCCTTTTTTCAAGCTTCTTTTACTTTATTTTCACCTGATAATTCTACAAATAAAAACACACTTTCTGTCCCTCTGTGCCTACGTTACTCCTTCATGACATCTATGGAGGGAGGCATGGTTGTCACCTTAGGCTGATCTTCTGATATCGACTACAAACATGTCCATATCTCTTCCTGTACAATGCATGGGGGGGGGGGGGGGGCAGAGCAATTGGTTGTTTACGAAAGATAGCTAGCGACAAGGACACTGCATTTCTGCTGAGATCGACATGTCTTTTTTCCAAGCTAAGAACATTTTCAGCAAGTACAGAAAATACAACAAACGCAGCCAGAACATCTCAAGGACTGTACGCTGCGATATATTGCATTCTTACTTTTGGGTTTATTTATCCTTTACAGAAGAACTAAAGACTAAAAATAAAAAAATTGAAAACAAGCAGGCTCTTTATTGCAGAAGAGACACACAATGTCTTTTCTGCATAAAAACACTTACCTGCCTCTTTACAGTCCTCTGTAGAATGTATGTTGAGCTGTGCATACACAGATCACTTTACATTCTGACACAGTGCCTATGTGCTGGGATGGCTGCACCCCTGTGCATGTGCACATCAGTGATATCATCCTTCGCTGACCAATAAAGATGAGTGAAGACCGGCACCTGGGGGGGGCATAGATAGTTGGAGGATAGGGGAATATTCCTGCCTTTAATTCCACTTTAAGATTCTAATCAGCTCAATACACAGTAGTATGCAGAGAGTAGTGTGGTACTGGATGGTGGGGAGGATAAAAAAAATAAATGCCATTTACAGATGCTTCAACTGACAGATTAAATCTATGTACCCACCAGCTCGTCTGAGTTGAGATGGAGGAGATTTCCAGGGCTTGTGAATGTATTCATCAGGCAGCCCAGCCAGTTCTGGACACCACTTCCTCACATAGGAGCCATAGGGGTCACAGGTCATGGCAGCATCTACAGGATGCATAACAAAATTCCAGTGGTCTAGTCCGGACATTCCTCCATTCTGCCACATCATGGCATTGATAGCAACATCTGCATCCACAAGAGTGTCCTGGCAACAGAATCACAAATATTCATTACACATTATCTTAAAGCCCAACTGAACTTCGTGGTATTCATCATTTGTACTTGACTGGTACTATTTAAATCCCGATATTTACTGGATTTTATTTTCTTTTATATGGCCTTGAGCAAGTGAAAGCTCAACATTCCACATCCTTTTGTTTTGATGCATCAGGAATGTATTTAACTGTTTTAGGCCTCATTCACACCATACAAGCAAAATAACTGATGGAAACTGACGAAGATTCCACTTGTAGAGACATCAGTTTTCATGCACATTTCAATGAGTTTTATAGACATTGCAGATTCCTGCGCAGAAAAAAATCTGCACATGATACCAATGTTGTGGTGTGAACAGGGCACATAGAGAACAACTGATTTAGTTGTGCCCTTGCAGAACGCATGCAGAAAAGCTGACGTCTCTGTTCCATGGTGTGAATGAGCCCTAAAGCGGTTGTAAGCCCCAGACGTAAAATATGAAAAAAGAACCCTCAGCCTTTACAAGCACTTTAAGAAATACTTGTTTCTTAATTCAGACAACTATTTGCGCCGGCGTACAGCAAATTCAGGTAGTTCTTACTACTCTTGCTTTAAGAACCTGTTGGTATGGCAGTGACAGATTCTTAAAGAATTACTAAATTATTCAGATTAGGAAACTGGCAGAAATTAAGACGAGCTCTGAGCTGGCGTATGGAAGTATTCCCGTACAGAGAGTGGGCCATGCCTGTCCTGACCTTGCTCTATCCTGACCCCATTCAGCTGTTGGCTGGGAGAGTCCCTGGCTGAAATTAAAATATAAATAAAGGGCCCAGGGATACTAGTGATATCATTACGACATTACCTATATTTGGGAAATGACTTGTCACTCAACAAGAAACTAGCTCCAATCAGGGCCGCATTGATATAATTGGCAGTGGGCAGGTTGAAAGCCTCTATTGGTCTGACTAGTGGGTATGGATGCACCCATTGCCGTGCGCAGTCAATCAAAAGTAGAACAGACTTGATGAGGAACTAGCCTCTTACTTCCCATTCAGGCTCCCCAAACCTCATCAACAATGCACCTGTCCTGATGATGGGTGTAGCAGACAGGGAGGGTGGGAGAACACTGAGGAAGGATTGTTCAGTAGGGATACACCGACATTAAGGGTGTCTAGGTCTATGAATTACCACTGGTATCTTCAAGCAGCATTTTCTGCTTTGAAGACACTTCGGGACCGCTGACCTTCTAGGACTTTCAGGTATTGGAGTGAGCAGGTTAACAGGAGAACTTACATAGCAATAATAAAAAAAAAAAGAAAAAAAAAAAACAAACAATGTGCAGACACTGGACCTGAGGGAACATTGAAAATGAATGTAGAGCGGTTCACCTGGCAAGCATACATAATAGGCTCTTTGTTGAAAGCAATATAGAAGGGTTATTCTGTAGATACATCAAGAAGTAGAATACTGCAAACACCAAATCCAGAAGGAACCACAAGTGAAGAGAATTTGAAAGAGTTTCATACACTCTTTATTAGGAATACTTCCCAATATTCAACTACTCCCACTAAAGTGTGTTTAACACCTAGGTAAAATCCCTCCATTTGTGGTTCTTTTTGGATTTGGCACTTGCACTCTCCACTTCTCAACTTACATGATCATAGGACCACTTTGAGAATTTAGATGATACAGATACAGTTAGAAATGTGTAATCACACTTCAACAAGAAGCTATAAAAAGGTATTATTGTGTGTTGGAGAGCTAGTGCATTATTTTATTGTATTTATTTTATCCGTGCATTTTTTCTGTTTATTTTAACTTATTATGGAGGGCTGGCTATGTTCTGCTGTTCAAAAAGAAGCAGTGCTGGGTGGTCAGCAGGAAAATTAACTGATTGGCTCTTTTCTAAATTCAAATAATTGAAATAGGCAATCATCATAGGCACTAATGGTGAAATGAGTGTGTTACTGCTGTTTACCTGGAACCATCTGTAGCCATGGATCCAATGTAAGTGAAGATAAGCCACAAGGAAAGAGGCCACTACATGTCTAGCGTAATTGCACATCCAGCCGGTGAGCCAGAGCTCTCTCATGGCAGCATCTACCAGAGGGTATCCAGTCATCCCTTTCTGCCAGGCTTGTAGATGGCTCAGATCACTGCTCCAGCGCTGACTCTGGAATAAAAACAATTATTATATCACTGAGAAATGTAAATCAGTAATACGGCTATATAGCTTAGTCTGTTAAAGGAAGAACAATTTAAAGGATAAAAAAAAGATAAAAAGGTTCTGGCATCTTTGAGCACAGGAAGGTTAATATTTCATGCGGGGTTAGTGCTGATGTAAAGCTAAACTGTCAGCTGCAATGATGGGGTCTTGTAATATAACACTCACACATTATGGAAGAGAATGCTCAGTACCATTGCTCTGTTCTCTGCTGTCATACTCTCTGCTGTCTATTTTGGATCCCACATCTTCCCTCAGCCATTGTGAGCCCACTAATGTTAGCTCTATTCTCAGCATGTTGTAGATGCCAAGAATGTATACTTTTGTTGAAAGCACTACAACTGACCGCACTGGTGTTAACTAGGGCCATTGGAATACAGTGGGTATGAAAAAGAATCCCCCCCCCCCCACCAATCACATTTTGTTGCTTTGCAGTCTGAAATGAAGACAGATACAGTTTTTGTTTTATTCAGCTGTATTTAACATCCAATTGAAAGATATAACGCTTACATGTCAGAAATAAATGACATTATTTGCAGAACTGCTCAAGTTCAGTTAAATTTGATGGACATATTTTCAATGAGGTTTAAATCTGGGCTCTGACTAGGTTATGCAAGGACATTCAATTGTTTTCTCCTTCAACCACTGTGTGCTCATTGTTGCTTTGTGCTTTGGGTCATTGTCATGTTGGAAGGTAAAACTTCTTCCCATCGACAACTTTCTAGCAGAGAGCAGCAGATTTTCCTTTACTGTAGGAATGGCATTATTTGAATGGGGAGCTGTATTGGATTTCTGCCAGACATATTGTTTAGTGTTGAGGCCAAATAATTCAATTTTAGACTCCTCTGACCAGAACACCTTTTTCCATGTGGCCTCAGAATCTTCAAGGTGCGTTTTGAAAAAAACGCAGTCGTGACTGCATGTGGCGTTTCTTGAGGAGTGTCTTTTTTCTTGCAACCCTTCCATACAAGCCACATTTGTGATATTGTTGTCACATGCACACAATGACCACTCTCATAAATTCCTGCAACTGCTTCAGAGTTGCTGTAGGCCTCTTGGTAGCCTCTCTGACCCGTTTCCTCCTGGCTCTTTCATCCAGTTTGGAGCGATGTCCTGATCAAGGGGAGGGTCTGTGTTGTAATAATAAAAATGCTACTTTAAACAAAAATCTCCCACAATGTGAAAAACAATAAATAAAACCACAAAATTGTCCAAAATCAAGCAATAGTGTCCAAGATAAAGTCAATATGCAAAAAAATCACACACTTGTGTCCTCAAAAAATTATAGTCATAAATGGTGATTCCAAAAACAATCCAGGTGCCTGAGCCTTCCAAATGGCTCTCACGACCAATGTAACCTCAAAAAAGAAAATTTACATAGTGCATTATCCTTAATAAACCAATGCATAAATAATACACTGTGTAAAAATAAATACACTGTGTAAAAACACGTGACCTCTATTGCCTTGCATTGGAAGTCCAATACTGTACCCTTGACCTCCGTTTTACACAGAATTGATACTGTAATGCTCATGGAACGCATTCACTATACCCTACTGGATAAGATGCACTTATTTGATAAAAAATGGGAGTCATGGAGGGATTATAGACACTTATTGCATGATTAATAACATTCCCAGTGAAAGTTGAATGGCATATACGGTTGACAGATGTATCATTTAACCTAACTCATCGTTTACACATTTCATGTGCTTGCTATTTAATTTTTTTTTCTATTCCTTTTCTTTCTTACGTTAATATACTTTTCTGTAATGTACTATTCAAAAGTGCCTTGTTTTTGCTGAAAGTTTTATTTGAAAATGTACTGTTGTTTTACAGTCTACTTTTATACAATAAAATCGTTTGTAAACAAAAAAAAAAAAAACACGTGACCACTCTTAGTGAAAAAGTGAATGGATGTGTAAACCGTGACAGTGAATCACTCTCATTGCAAAAGAAAAACATTTCTATTTTTGTAAGGAATGGATACCCCTACCAAAATAAAATAATATTCACGCCTTAATACCACCAGGGTATGATACAATTCCACAGATAGCCCTCCTGGGAAAAGATCTTTAGGATGTCATCAGAGCCTTAAATGTACAACTCCTTGATGTCATCTGGGTTAGTAAGCATGAATATTCCACATTCCTCCTGATACCATGCTCCACCGATGTAACAATATATGAAGAAAGATATAGTATAATACCGCAAAACACCTTTAAAATACACTTTATTTCTGTGCTTACATCACAACAGCTTTTAAAACGCCTTGTTACCTATATACCAAACCTCTGTGTAGTTCAGGAAACATCCACGAGTGTTTGATAGGATTTTGCCACTTTCCAAAATGGCCGCTACTCCACTTCCGGTTTCGCCGTGTGCGTCTGACGTCACTTCCCTTGACGCGTTTCGTCAGCAAACTTAATCAGAAGGGTCTGTGTTGTACCAAACATCTTCCACTTCTTAATAACAAACTTCATTGTGCTTCTAGGCATTGATAAAGCCTTTGAAAATTTTTGTTGTATCCATCTCTTGACTTATGCCTGCCCACAATTTTAGCCTAGAGATCTTTTGACATTGCGTTGCCACCTATAGTTGATTGTTTGCTTCAGTTGCACTACCTAGTACTGAAATGCTCCAGGAAAGCTCTTTCATGCTGAGCTAATCAAAATGACCACAGATGGCATGGCTTTGTGTGCCATTGAGAAGGCGATTAGCTACACCTGAGTTTACAAATCATTTTTACGAGGGGGTGATCCTTTTTTCCAGCTCAGTAATTCTGTTTTTTAATTTTTTTCTGACATGTTGGTGTTCTATCTTTCACTTGGACGTTAAAGGTTGCACGGAAAAAAACAAAAACTGTGTCTGTCTTCATTTCAGTCTGCAAAGCAATAAAATGTGATTATTTTAAAGGGCTGATTCTTTTCTTTACCCACTGTACATGGCAAGCACTGTGCAAGCAGTCTGAATGCAGTTTAAAACCACACTGGAAAGCATCTGATGTGAACCAGCCCTTCTGACTAATTTAAAGGCTACAGGGAGGGCTAAAATTATGGGGAAGTAGAGTATAACGCATCATTGTAGAGGCCAGGAGTTCAGAATAAAAAAAAAAAAGCAAACAAAAGAATGAAGTAAATTATTTTGTTTCTGTAGAATATCCTTAAGGCTAGGTTCACATGTGTGCAGGTGGTGCCGCTGCGGATCCGCACAACAATGTGGCCGCACTACCCACACAGAAGCATGCGGACCTGCGGGTGCTATTAATTCTAATGGCACGCCGCCCGCACTGGAAATCGCAACCACACTGGGAACTGAGGTTCCCGTGCAGGCTGCGGTTTTCAAAGAAGTGCAGGGACTTCTTCCCTGCGTGTCCCGGACACGGGAGTCCATTCAAATGAATGGGCTCTCGTGCCCACGCAAAACGCGGCCTGCAGGAATGCGGATATGTGAACTGGGGGTAAAGGGTAACTGAGGATTAGGGTGTGGCTGGAGTACTCTCCAAATTGTGCAGATCTGCACTTATATCTGACTTTGCCTTGTTCATGCTGTCTTCTAAGAAGCTTCTTCCGCTCCTGGCATCTTCTTTCTTCAGCAATTAAGTGACCAATGATGATGGAACTCCCGTGCATGGAGTTGCACCTTCCCAATAATCAACTCAAATCTTCCCCATCTGTAAGATGGCGAGAGCACACAATGTACTGTGCATATGCAGCAGTCAGTGTTCGCTTAAAATCATTGCTAGCAAAAAGAGAAGATTTTACTTGTCAGAGTAAACATTTAATGTCTCTTCTGCCGAAAAAAATCTCTGCTCGACGATGTTTTTTGTTTTTTTTTTTTGCCTTCATTTCTACTTTAAAGCCTCTTCTGTGCAAGCACCTATCTTTGACCAAAGGGGAATATAAAAGGAGCAGGGCCCTCCTAACCCTCTTGTATTGAACTGTATCATTGCTGTATTGTCTCCTGTTACATTGTAAAGCGCTGAGCAAACTGTTGGCGCTATATAAATCCTGTATAATAATAATCCTCACCATAATTGCTGTTGACAGACATGCACTGGGAGAGGTTAGGTTCACATTTTGATAACAATCATGTACCTTGTATGCAGGCCTGACAGGTTCCACATGCATGTCTGGAAAGAGGACGAGCAACCAGTAAGCCAGGTCCCGCCAGGCCAGCTTTCTTAGGAACTTGGGCACACTTTTTTTGGTAAAATATGCTTCATGCAGCACTGTCTTCGGGCTAATCTGACCAAAGTGGAGATATGGGGAAATGTGGCTAGTGTATGGTTTATCTGCTCTCCCAGACTCTTTATCATAGTGTTTTATGCCTGGAAATAAAAAAAAAAAAAAGTGAATTTTATTACATCTGAAGCAACAGGTCACACAAGTAATCTACTGACATATCTGTTGTTGGTTTTTTGGGGTAAGATATATTCCCATAAAAATATAACCCTTAAGTTTGACCTATGACCTTTACCAGCTTCTCTGGAGGGAGGGTGGGGGCAAAGTAAAAAATAAAACTGGCATGGATCTTTAGTTTTCTGTCCCAGTATTTTGCTGCTCATACATTGCATAGCTGACGTTTTGCCACTGAAAAGGTTAGACTCAAACATTTTATGGTAATCCATCATCAGAAGTGAACTGAAGTTATTGTTAGGTTTAGGATTAACCACTTGACCTCAGAAAGATTTATCCCCCTTCCTGACCAGGCCATTTCTTGCGATACGGCAGTGCCGTTACTTGCGGTCATGCAACGCTGTACATAAATTAAATTTATGTAATTTTTTTCCACACAGAGTTTTCTTTTGCTGGTATTTGATCACCACTGCATTTTTTATGCTATAAACAAAAAAAGACCGACAATTTTGAAAGAAAAAAAAAATTTTCCTAGATTGTAAGCTTGAAAGAGCAGGGCCCTCAATCCCCTCATGTTTTGCATTGTATTGGTATTGTTCTGTCGCATGTTCTGTCCCCCTTTGTAATGTACAGCGCTGAGCGAACCATTGGCGCTTTATAAATACTGTATAATAATAATAAAAAATTTTTTTTTTTTTTTACTGGATAGGTTTAATAGCAAAAAGTCAAAAATATTTTTTTTATAGTGCAAAAAATAAAAAAACGCACAAGCGATCAAATACCACCGAAAGAAAGCTCAATTCGTGGGAAAAAAAGGATGGAAATTTAAATTGGGAGCAGCATTGCATGACTGCGTAGTTGTCAGTTAAAATAACGCAGCGCCGTAATGCAAAAAATGGCCTGGTCAGGAAGGGGGGGGGGGGGGGTATCTGGAGGGAAAGTGGTTAAGGTACAAAACTAGCTCAGGAACCCAAAGAACAGAAAAAAGTTCAATGAACACATCTCGCCTTCTTTTAAAACTCCCCCTAACCAGATTTTCTGGGCAGAGACCAGCTTTTACAATGCCAAAGAAAATCCCAAGATTTCTAACTGACCTATACTATGTGTATTTATAGGTATTAAGAGTATCAAGAAAATGTTCTTGCCATTGTCAAGGAAATTTCCTAAACAAGTATAAGCTCCATCTTCACTGAAGTCCCAGGATTTCCTGATAGTTGCTGCCCAGTCTACCTGTAGAAACACAAATGACACTATTCAAGTTTCACAGAGGTCTGAATGGTTATGTTGCTCGAAAAACTGTCAAATTATTACTAATACTAGTAACTATTACTATTATTACTTCCTTTGAACAACATATATAATGTAGCTGGAATCACATTATAAACACTTTGATTTTTATATATCTCACGTCTTAATTTTTTTTGCATCACTGTTCTAAACATAATAAATGGAGCGGTTGCTGCTCCTAATTAAGAAAAGGGATGTAAGTTAATTAGAAGCAATTAGGTCTCTTTTCTCCTGTGTCTGTGACAGGTAGCACAGAGAACAGAAAGCTGGAGCTGCATGCTCTGATCTCTCTGTTGTCCCCTCTCCTCTGCTCACAGTGGGAGAGAGAAGGAATGTTGTTAACCCTGGAGGCTCTGCTCATGTAGCGTAATCACTGCACGAGCAGAGAAAGAGATGTGAGCGGTCTACTGACATCCCATACAACAAGGTAGGATCTGGCAGGAATATGTGGCAGTTTTCTATATGGCTAATTAGGGGCAGACCTGTGCTAGTTTCTAATTCACCCCGAAATAGAAAACTGGTAAGGGTGCCGCAGATAGACCGAAAATAGGTCTATCTGCTTAATTCATGTGGTGCAAGCCACACCTGACAATTTCCTGCACCATTATATTGGTGCAGAAAGCATAGTTAGTTCCCCAGATTGTATTTTTGTGAATGGTAAAGCAAGAGAGAAGGGGAGGGAAGTGGGCATAACACCCCCAAACTAGTGTCTGTCTGTCATAGCCACCTCTCCAATGCATCAGGAACCCAGAAGTACAGCTCTCATGGTAATTTTTAAGGTGCAGTTGCATAGCAGCGTTGAAAAAAAAAACATCGAGGCATTTAAAAGTACAAAAATCACATTGCCCTTGTAGAAAAAAAAATATATATACGAAATCTGTTAATTTACCACGGTGCCATCCTTCCTTCGTGGCATTTTTGCCAAGTTCAGTCTCTCCAGTTCCATTGATTCAGGCCAGCATGATGGGAGAGGAAGGCTTGTGGGAGCATCCAGAGGGTCACCTATTAGAGAAGAGTAGTTTCTTTCACAGCAGCTCATAAAATGGCTCACAGAGCCAATACCTGGAAAATAAGAAAAACAAAATTTTTATCTTAACTAAGAGTTAACTAATTAAAAAAAAAAAAAAAAAAAAAAAAAACACTGAACATGACCTGAACGAAAAGGTTCCAAATGCAACAACAGTACAGAAGTATTTGCAAGTACCTGTGTTAGTCTACAAATCAATCCCTTTCTCTTTGTGAGGCCCACTGAACAATAGGGTCCTGGCTGTACAGGGGGGCAAGGACTTGTTTGCAAGCCAAGATTAAGCTTCACCCTTACTGACAACAAGCACCACCCTCTGTATTTCAACCATCAAGTGCCAGATTCTGTCCTGCCAGCTAAAGCACTGTCATTTGACTGTTGAATGACAGGAGGTTTAACCACTTCCTGTCCGGACACTTTTACCCCCTTCCTGTCCAGGGAAATTTTCAGCTTTCAGCGCTATCACACTTTGAATGACAATTGCGCGGTCATGCAATACTGTACCCATATGAATTTTTTACCAATTTTTTGAGACAGATAAAGATTTATTTTGGTGGTATTTATTCACCGCTGGGATTTTTATTTTTTTTACTATGTAAATGAAAAAGTCCAAAATTTTTTTAAAAAAGTGTTTTTTTTTAATAAAATTTTGCAAATAAATAATATTTCATCATAAATCTTGGCCAAAATGTATTCCGTTATTTTTTTAGTAAAAAAAAAAATCCAAATTAGTTTATAACCAAAAATTATATTTTTTAAACATTTTTTTTTACATTTTTATTTTTTTTTATATTATTATTTTTTATTTTACATACTGTCACCCTAGCAGTACAGTGTCACCATGGTGACACTGTACTACTTGTGGGGGGTGATGAAGATTTTTTTTTTTTTTTTTTTTACACTGATTGCTTTTACACCCATATAGGATGTAAAAGCAATCATTTCTCCTTCTCTCTGTCTGCATTCTTGCAGTCATTGAGAAGTACTGAGTGAGCTGTGATTGGTCACAGCTTGTCACATGGTACAAGGCTGTTGTGAATAGCCTTGTACCATGTGACCTCTGTGATCATTCACAGATTTCACACGTAGTAAGCAATGATGTCACAAGTGACATCTTGCTTACTACTTTGCATGTGATCACTGATTCGCAAATCAGTGATCACATGATCGGGACCTCGTACAGAGGTCCTGTCCGACGATTGGTGTTTCACTGTGTCTGGAGGACACAGCGGCACCAGATCGCGGTGCTGCGCGCTCCCAGGGAGCACGCACAGCTAGAAAAGGCAGGTGCCATTTATGAACGGCAACCCGCCTCTGGACTGCCACCGTCCTGCCGTTTATAAACAGCAGGCGGACGGCAAGAGGTTAATTAATGCTCAATGTGCAGCCTGTTCTTAGGACCAAAAGGGCTCCACAGAGACAGACCGGGCCAGACACCTATAGAAAGTAGGATTCTGGAGCTATATTGGTGGGACAAGTCTACAGATTTGAAGCTATATGGAATATATATATGGAGTACTGTCCGTGATACTTTTTTTATTTGCACTAACAAACAATTTTAAGGACAAGCTTTCGGGGAGTGTCCCCTTCTTCAGGTCAAAGCAGTACTGATCACAAAGGGTTAGAAGAGATGTTTTGGAGTTGGAAGGAAAAAAAAAAAAAAAAGGAGAACAGATAAGATAAGACACAGCAAAAGCAAAGTCTGGGGAGGGGGGAGACTACACTCACATAGGCAGTGATGCTTGAGGTGATAAAACTGTTGGATAATGAGCAGGGGCGGACTGACAACTCATGGGGCCCCCCCGGGCAATAGGGGATCATGGGGCCCCTGTGTCCTTGCCCAAACTCAAAAAAGCCAATGAAAAAGGTACCAGGGGCATCTCATGGGGCCCCCTACTGACTCCGGGCCCTCGGGCAGTGCCAGAGTTTCCAAATGGTCAGTCCGCTCCTGATAATGAGTGAGGAATCCCATGTCCAAATTCAGGCCGTTATCTCTTGTGTCAAATAGAATTATATCTCTGATCATACAGCTGCACCTCCAGTAATGTTGTATACCTTATCCAGTGCAGAAAATGTAACAAAGGATCCTATGTTGGCGAAACAGGACAGAAGTTACAAACAAGGATGAATTTGCACAGACATACCATCAAGGAACATAAAGAAGATGACTTTTGCACACCTGTGGGACACCATTTCGCACAACCAGGCCACACAATGGGAGACCTCAATATTTTAGTTCTTAATAGGAAATTTCAAATTCATCAAGGAAAGAAAAGCTTTTGAACTAAGGATGATAATTCTTATGCAGCATCCCCCGCCCCCTCCCCCCAGCCTTGGCTCCCTGGGGACTCTCCCTTCTCATAGGCTGATACAGCAGTGGGAGCCATTGGCTCTCATTGCTGTCAATCACAGCTAGAAAGCCAGCTAGAAAGGGGGCAGGGCTGAGCAAGCTGCTTCTAGGGAGCTTGGGTACCCCCATAGCAAGATGCTTGTTATGGGGGCACTCAGCAGGAGAGAAGAGACAGGAGCTCTAGTGGGGGACCTAAGAAGAGGATCAGGGCTGCTCCATGCAAAACCACTGCACAGAGCAGGTAAGTATGACATTTTTTTTGTTTCTTTTTTAAACTTGTCTTTAATATCACTTAAAGGTATAATAGCTTTGGTCTTTTTTTTTAATGTTTGACCCTTTACAATCTGATCCTTTATGTTAAGTTTTCATTATTAGTCATCATGACATGGAGCAATCCTAATCAATTGGGGTACTTCTGCCTTCTACTTAATAAACTACAACAAATATTCCCTTCGATTTCTTCCTACTCTTGGTAATAGACACGTATGCTTGTGTGGGGGTGTGTAAGGTGGGGGGCAAGAACACAGGAGTTAGTCACAGTTCTTTGAACAATAAAATAAAGTGGGCTCTGTGAATCCCAGCAAGCACTGTAATTTTCACTTTTCTAAAGAGGTTTTTTTTTATTATACTAGAAGCAGACTGGCACCAATACCAATTACCATAGTGATGAATGATCTATATTTAACACAGAGTATGAAATGTAAAGGCATGCTTCACACTATGAAATCAGAATAGTATTCAGAAAGGAATGAACCAGAAGAAGGAGTCCCTTACTATGATTTTTTAACTATTGTAATCCTGGTGCTGTTTAAGTCCTGGTTCACACTGATGCGAATCTGATGTGTTTTAGAATGCATAGATTCGCATGTCAAGGTAGATAACGTGGCTTTCTATGGAGGTCGTTCACATTTATGTGTTCCAAACACAATGTGATTTCCAAAAGCGTCCTGTGCCTGCTTGGTGTGATGCAGTGAATAGCACATTTACTTTGAGCTTTACCATTCCTCTATTTAGCATAAAAGTGGCACTAATGTGATACTTTAACCACTTGAGGTCCACAAGGTTTTACCCCCTTCATGACAATCAAGCCATTTTTAGCAGTATGCTACTTTAACTGGTAATTGAGTGGTCATGCAACACTGTACCCAAAATTGCGCAACGGATCAAATTCAAAATCCTAACGCTGACGTACAAAGCTGTCCACCATACTGCCCGATCTACATCACTGACCTAATATCCAAGTACCGCCCAGCACGCACACTCCGCTCCTCACAAGACCTCCTTCTCTCTAGTTCCCTGGTCTCCTCCTCCCATGCCCGCCTCCAGGACTTCTCCAGGGTGTCACCCATCCTCTGGAACTCCCTGCCCCAACCCATCAGATTTTCACCTACTCTCCTCTCCTTTAGGCGCACCCTGAAAACCCATCTCTTCAGGGAAGCCTACCCCACCCCCTGCTAACTTGCTGACCTCCTCCACTCTTCCTACCACTCCATCCCCCACAGCTATCTCCTCCTGTGCCACCATCACCTCCCACCTCGAAAGAGCAGGGCCCTCAATCCCCTCACGTTTTGCATTGTATTGGTATTGTATCCATGTTTACTTTTTGTATACCCCAAACTTCTCTTTTAGGCAGAATATTAAAAAGTCCAACCAAAAGCTTTTTCACTGCACGGGACAACTGCTCTATTTGTATGGGTGAGGAAAAAGCTTATACTCCCCCGATGCGTCATTCACTGGAAAACTGTGCTCCCCCGCGGTCCAGTAGTGGACTGTTCCTGATCTATGGAGCTTGCTCTGAGCTTGATGGCATCAGGAACAGTCCACAACTCAAACCACTGGAGCACAGGGGAGCCAGAACAGTCTTGTGCTGTGAGGACTGGAGGATTTAGGTAAGTATCTCCTTTATCCTCCCCCCTTGAAAAAAAATGAGCGGTTAATCCATGCAGTGCAGGCACAGCCCCACTGCATGGGAAAACGTTTCTTTTTTTTTTTTTAATAGGAATGTGTTAAACATTAGTGTGATCAGGCTCTGATGGAAGCAGCTACTCTTTGCTTACACATACTAGTTCAGGGCAGTTCAAATTAACATAATTGCATTTTCAGTTCCCCCAACTAGTGAACAGCTCATTGTCCAGGGAATGTCTGCTTTCATCATAGTCCAGACAGAATTTTGCTTTATCCTTACCTCTTAGTCCAACACCCTCTGTACTGACTGAATACGGTTCATAGAGGCAGTATGAATGGTATTTTGTGAACATCGCTCCGTGTTTCTTTAATGTCTCTGATATAAGATCATCTCTGTCCTTTAACCAAGGCTCATATACTGCATTCACTAGGACGGTGCCTGCCCCCGTCTCCTGCACAAGGCGTACAAGTTCATCAGCACAAGAATCATTCACTCGAAAAACTATGTGGCTGCCATAGCTCTGTGCCAGAGCCAGATTGAGGTTGAACAGAGCATGGTGAAGCCAGTATTTGGTAGCACCACCAGTGGCCAGTGTGTAGTTCTGACCCATCTCCTCACCCAAACTCCACAGGAAGGCAGGAATGATGGGAGCTCCAAGCTCCAAGGCAGCAATTAAAGCTGGATTATCATGGAGTCGGAGGTCTCTTCTAAACCAAACTACCACTGGTTTCACTAATACTGGATTTTTTGGAACCGATGAGTTTTTCTTTCTTCGGCCTCGTCTGCTCCTTTTCATCTTGTCCGCCTTGGTGATCGGGGACATGATTTTAAAAACATCTCTTCCATCACAGTTTAGAACACAATCTTCAGGTTCTGGTTGGCCAGTATACAAGTTGTCCAAGTGGTCTGCAGTGTGAAGCTTTGAAAGATTTTTGGAAAGCTCTATAGTGGTCAAGTCATCATGGGTGTTCTTGCATTTGGCATTAGTTGAGGGTTTTTGGTCACCATTGCTGTTTAGGACCGTTGATTTTTTAGCAGCTTCTGCAAACGAGATACTGGAATTGGAGATAGGATCCTGAATCGTGCAGCTGGGGCCAGCAGAAGATGGGGCTTCCTCAAGAGATAATGCTATTGCAATCTGAAGCTCCTCCTCATAGGTCGGCAAGTCAGAAGGCATCTATGGGGAATAAGTAAAGAATCATTAAAGCAGAACTGCAACCAACATGTTATATAACTATCCTCAATGCACGGTTTAATTGGGCAACTATGTGGCAAATGAGGTTTAATGTAGATAAATGTAAAGGTGATGCACTTGGGGGCTAAGAATATGCATGCATCATACATACTAGGGGGGGTACATCTGAGGGAATCAATGGTGGAGCTCAGCTATGAAGAAAGATTAGAAGAACTGGAATTTATTCTCTCTTGAGGAGGAGATTAAGGGGGGATAGATCACCATGTAACCTAAGGGGGGATATGATCACCAAGTATAATATAAGGGGCGATATGATCTCCATGTATAATACATAAGGGGGGGATATGATCACCATGTATAATACATAAGGGGGGATATGATCTCCATGTATAATACATAAGGGGGGATATGATCTCCATGTATAATAATAAGGGGGGATATGATCTCCATGTATAATACATAAGGGGGGGATATGATCTCCATGTATAATTCATAAGGGGGGATATGATCACCATGTATAATACATAAGGGGGGGATATGATCTCCATGTATAATACATAAGGGGGGATATGATCTCCATGTAATACATAAGGGGGGATATGATCTCCATGTATAATACATAAGGGGGGATACGATCACCATGTATAATACATAAGGGGGGGATACGATCACCATGTATAATACATAAGGGGGGGATACGATCACCATGTATAATACAAAGGGGGGATATGATCTCCATGTATAATACATAAGGGGGGATATGATCTCCATGTATAATACATAAGGGGGGATATGATCTCATGTATAATACATAAGGGGGGATATGATCTCCATGTGTAATACATAAGGGGGGATGATCTCCATGTGTAATACATAAGGGGGGATATGATCACCAAGTATAATACATAAGGGGGGGATATGATCACCATGTATAATACATAAGGGGGGATATGATCACCATGTATAATACATAAGGGGGGATATGATCTCCATGTATAATACATAAGGGGGGATATATGATCTCTATGTATAATACATAAGGGGGGATATGATCTCCATGTATAATACATAAGGGGGGATATGATCACCATGTATAATACATAAGGGGGGATAAGATCTCCATGTATAATACATAAGGGGAGATATGATCTCCATGTATAATACATAAGGGGGGATATGATCTCCATGTATAATACATAAGGGGGGATATGATCTCCATGTATAATACATAAGGGGGATATGATCACCATGTATAATACATAAGGAGGGATATGATCTCCATGTATAAATACATCAGTAGTTCATATAGTGAGCTCGGTGTAGAGTTATTCACCCTGAGGTCATCACAGAGGACAAGGGGGCACTCTTTACGTCTGGAGGAAAAGGATACCCCCTGCCACTCTGGCAGTCAGAACCACCACCGAATACTACCTATTCAAGTTCATAGGATCCGGCCGCAATCACTCTGCAGCAGTGCGCAATGCACCACATTGTGGGGTTAGCACAGGTGGTGAGGAAGCAACATATAAACTCCCAAGTTGTCAGTCAAATGCCACTGAAACATGGTCCATCACAGTACATACAGCCACGTGTCTAAATGGGGCCTTACATGAAGCTTCCGAGAAGTTCCATATGCACTACCATACAGGGGCGGACTGACCATTTGGAAACGACTGCCCGAGGGCCCGGGGTCAGTAGGGGGCCCCATGAGATGCCCCTGGTACCTTTTTCATAGGCTTTTTTGAGTTTGGGCAAGGACACAGGGGCCCCATAAGTTGTCAGTCTGCCCCTGCTACCATACACAATCATGTGTAACAGATCAGTCATAATATTGATTGTCGGTTATTAGCTCCATCAGTCGACGTTTATTAGGCTAGGTTCACATCTGGGTGGTGCCGCTGCGGATCCGCACGAAAATCCATGCAACCACACCACCCGCACAGAGAAATGCAGACCCGCGGGCGGGTGCTATTAGTTCTAATGGCACGCCGCCCGCACTGGAAAACGCAACCGTACTGGGAACCGAGGTTCCCGTGCGGGCTGCGTTTTCAGAAGTGCAGGGACTTCTTCCCCTCATGTCACAGGAGTCCATTCAAATGAATGGGCTCTCGTGCCCACACAAAACGTGGCCCACACGGCCGCATATATGTGAACCAGGGCTTAGTCAACATACACAGCTGATCATCTTGCATGTGCTTAAGACCAACCATTGTTCGATTTTGTCAAACTGTGCTGAAATAAGCAAAAACATTTTCATGGGTGACCAAAAGTGGCTGTGTGCCCCTTCCTGGTCATAAAGATTGATCAAAACAAACTTTTCAAACTCCATACTGATCAAAAGATCAGTGACATTTACCACAGCACCAAATTTCTTTATAGAGTACAGGTATCTATATAGCACCGATCAATTTACACATTGCTTTGCATATTGTACTTTCACATCAGTCCCTGGTCCTAGGGAGCGTACAATGTACGGCCCCAACCTCACATACAAAGGACAATGTAGACAAGAATCTCTGAAGGATGAGGTGGAGAGTATGACATCATCACCCTGCCTCCAATCACAGCATGTTTTGCATTCAGAAAACGCACAGCCTTCTCTCAATGGCACCCATGCTGAACAGACAACCTCTTGTGTTCACAATGCATCAGGCCAGCCGTTCAGCATGGGACCTGGAAGCAACTGGAGATCACTGGAGAAGTAGTGTCTACTTTAATGATTTCCAGCTTCCAGAGGCATAATGTATACTAGAATATGTACAGCGCCTTGAAAAAGTATTCATACCCCTTGAAATTTTCCACATTTTCTTATGGTGTATCCAAAAACATAAATATATTTTATTGGGATCTTATGTGATAGACCAACACAAAGTGGCACATAATTGTGAAGTGGAAGGAAAATGATAAACGGTTTACAACATTTTTTACAAATAAATATGTGAGAATTGTGGCCTGCATTTGTATTCAGCCCCCCCCCCCCCAAGTCAATACTTTGTAGGACCCCCTTTGGCTGCAATTCCAGCTGCAAGTCTTTTTGGGGATGTCTCTACCAGCTTTGCACTTCTAGAGAGGGACATTTCTGCCCATTCTTCTTTGCAGAATAGCTCAAGCTCTATCAGATTGGATGGAGAGCGTCTGTGAACAGCAATTTTCAAGTCTTGCCACAGATTCTCAATTGGATTTAGGTCTGGACTGTGACTGGGCCATTCTAACACATGAATATGCTTTGATCTAAACCATTCCATTGTAGCTCTAGCTGTATGTTTAGGGACGTTGTCCTGCTGGAAGGTGAACCTCCGCCTGTCTTTTGCAGACTTGAACAGGTTTTCTTCTAAGATTGCTCTGTATTTGGCTCCATCTATCTTTCCAACAACTCTGACCAGCTTTCCTGTACCTGCTGAAGAAAAGCATGCTGCCACCACCATGTTTCACAGTGGGGATGGTGTGTTCAGGTTGATGTGCAGTATTAGTTTTCCGCACACAGCGTTTTGCTTTTAGGCCAAAAAGTTCTGAGCAGAGCGCCTTCTTCCACATGTTTGCTGTGTCCCCCACATGGCTTGTCGAAAAACTTCAATTGGGACTTCTTATTGCTTACTTTCAGCAAAGACTTTCTTCTTGCCACTCTTCCATAAAGGCCAGATTTGTGGAGTGCACGACTGATAGTTGTCCTGTGGACAGATTCTCCCACCTGAGCTGTAGATCTCTGCAGCTCCTCCAGAGTTATCAGTGGCCTCTTGGCTGCTTCTCTGATTAACCACTTCATGCCGGCACCTCCCGGCCCTTTAAGAGTTTCAGAAGCAGAGAGGTGGGTGGGGTTTTAGGGTCATGTGACTGCCATGATTCGCCATCTCGGCGGTCACATGATTGGAAAAGGTCCCGATCTAAAGGGGAGATCGGGACCTTTCCGTGAGTCACGGACATATGTGCTGGGAGCGAGCAAAGCGCACACTCTCAGCACATATGTAATTTCTAATTGCACGCAATTATGTGGCCACTCGGAGTCAAGGGGTTAATGCTCTCCTTGCCCGTCCTGTCAGTTTAGGTGGACGGACATGTTTTGGTAGGTTTGCTGTTGTGCCATACTCTTTCCATTTTCTGATGATGGATTGAACAGTGCTCCGTGAGATGTTCAAAGCTTGGGAAATGTTTTCATAACCTAACTCTACTTTAAACTTCCCCACAATTTTATCCCTGACCTGTATGTGTTCCTTGGCCTTCAAGATGCTGTTTCGTCACTAATGTTCTCTAAGGGCTCGTTCACACTTGGCTGTTTTACCAACTGCTTGCCAAACGCCCCTATAGCGTTTGGCAAGCGTTGGTCCGGCGTTTGCGGAGCGTTTTTTAACGCTCGGCAAATGCTCCGCCAACGCCGCATGCGCGGTTTAGCGGAGGTTGCTAGGTGTTTGCTGAGCGTTAAAAAACGCCCCACAAATGCCTATAATGCAGTTTGAATGGTGTTACCGCTCCGCAAACGCCCCGCAACCACGTCGCAACCGCACCACAAACGCCGGCCGTTTGTGGAGCGGCACCATAGACTAGAATAGGAGGCTTCAACGCCTCCTGACTCAACCAGAGGTCTGTTTTGCTGCGACGCTAACGCTCCCGTTAGAACAGCACCATGTGCTGTAATGTGCAGAATTTGCAGAGGCGTTTGGGAAGCGGTAAAAACGCTTCCCAAACGCCTCTCTGCCGCCTGCACACAACGCTAGTGTGAACGTAGCCTAACAAACCCCAGAGGGCTTCACAGAACCGCTGTATTTATACTGAGATTAAATTACACACAGGTGGACTCTATTTACTAATTAGGTGACTTCTGAAGGCAATTGGTTCCACTAGATTGTAGTTAGGGGTATCAGAGTAAAGGGGGCTGAATACAAATGCACATCACACTTTTCAGATATTTGTAAAAAATGTTGAAATCCATTTATCATTTTCCTTCCACTTCACAATTATGTGCCACTTTGTGTTGGTCTATCACATAAAATCCCAATAAAATATATTTACGTTTTTGGTTGTAACATGACAAAATGTGGAAACTGTCAAGGGGTATGAATACTTTTTCAAGCCACTCTAACTATGTAGAACGAAACCACGATGAATACTATAATATGTAACCATGTATAATGTGACTACAATGTATACTGTGAAGTATAATAGAATGTACAATACAGCCACGCCTAGATTTATTATTTAACCCTTTGGTGCCCATGCCTCCCAGCCCATTACGGGATTTGTGACGCCAGGAGAGGGGGGGGGGGGGGGTTTAAGGTCATGTAACCATCGTGATTGGCTGTCACAACGGTCACATGATCAGAAAGCTCCTGACCTCAAGTAGCGATTGGGACCTTTTTATGAGGTGTCAGTAAATGTGCCAGGATCACGCAGTGCTCGTGCTCTCGGCAAATCCTTTGTTCGCATTGGGTACGCACATATGTGGCCCCTCGGAGCCAAGGCCCAGCCCCTGAGAGGCTGCATATTTTCGTGCGCTCGGCACCAACAGGTTAAAGCAGAACTTAACTCTAAAGGGAAATTCTGCTGATGCTCCCCCCTCCCCCCCTTCCTCTTACACTTTTAGGAATTTTATTTTTGGGATGGAGCAAGTACCTATTTCTGCAGGTGATCCCACTGGAAGCCCCCCATTTACAACCTGCTAGGACAAGTCACAGGTCCCAGGAGGCTGCAGGGTCATTTACAGGGAACAGGCCTTTGTGTTAAAACAGGTAATGAGGAGATGACATGACACCCCCTCACCGCCTATCAAACAATCTCTGAAAAAGCAGTCCACCATGGATCACTCTTCAGAGGGTGATGCCGGTGTAAAATATGTCACAAGTGCCCGTTTACACTAACAATTGAGGGGCAGTAAAATTCTGCAGATGAGCCATGTTTTTACCTACCCCCAGCTGCTCCTTCCTTTGGCTGCAGAGGCAGTGGCCGGGGGTGTACACATGTGTTGCTTTGAGGCAGCGGCAGGAATTAGACCCCCCTTTTACTTTTAGCGGGTGTAGTGGCTGCTGAGCACAACACATTCAAATGAATAGGGTCACTCTGCAACTGCCTCGAAACTAAGCGCAATGCACATGGTTGCAGCATGCTAGTGTGGCAATCAAGGGGTTAAAGTAGGTGGTGAGGAGGTGATACAAGCTGCCTGTCAAAAGCTCTATGAAGGGCAACCCACACTCAGATCACTCTTCAGAGACCAAAGCACGTGTGAATAGAGACAAAGCGTGAGATTGACCTTCCTTTGTGGAATCTCCTCCCACTTCCTGTTGTGTCTCTGGAACAGGAAGTGAAGGGAAATGTCCTCAATAGGGGGCACACTGCAAAATCCATCAATAAATAGCCTGGCAGGGGGTGATGAACCCTTCCCCCACTCCAGCAGTTAAAGTGTTACCCTTGGGGGAGTCACCTGGAGGAAGTATTCCCGTTGGATGTCCATGATCCGACCATACAGGGCGGGGTGGCCGTGTCTCAGGCTGTGGAGGAGATCAGGTAGGTGTCGGTAGGTCCTGTGCTCCCCCAGGGTGGACACCAGCACACAGAAGAACTCCTCCGCCCCGATCTCCCCCTCCACCAGCTGCCGCTTCATGTCACTAATGTCCGGTAATGGCGGAAGGCCGGGGCTCTCCATTGTCCTCTATGACCGCTCTGCTCTTCTTCTTCCTCCCGGTTATACAACCACCGGCAAACTCTTTCATAACCACACCGACCTCTCACCTTTCCCCTCCGAACCAAAACAAAGCACCGCGCATGCTCACTGCTCACTACGGGGGCACGTCCGCCATCTTTATTAAGGGAATTATCTCTATGCAACCTGACAACTACAAATCCCATGAGCCTCACTCATGGCAGGACAAGTCGTTCAGAGACTTTTTTTTTTACCCAGTGTATATAATATTGTGATAGCTGATAACTCAAACCACATAGTGCCAATGTTGTGTATTAACTCCTTGTGTACGCAAATATGGGGCCTCTCAGCGGCTTGGCCTTGGTCCCGAGGGGCCACATATTGGCATACCCATTGTAAACAAAACATGGCGAGGCATATTTACTGGCACCTCACGGAAAGGTCTCGATTGCTAGTTGCGGTTGGGAGCTTTCTGATCATGTGACCGCCTTGAGAGCCAATCATGGCAAGTGAAGAGATGGACACTGCTCAACCAATCCCAGGAGTCCAATGTTGGCTATAGTAAAAAGTATACCTTATGGCATCGCTCCAAGCGATGGATGGAAGGAAAAGGATCACCCCACCTGGTAAGTGAGAAGAGGGGAGCCATGAGCCTGAGCGATTCCAGTGTCAGCCAATACAAGTGAAGGGATGGACGCTGATCAACTGTCCTCAGGAGTCCAATGTTGGGGAATGGTCTCAGACACCGTACTGGTCACGCCCTCTGACATGTTTCGCCCCACCCACTGGGGACTTGGTCACAGAGGCCTGTAACCAAGCCCCGGAGGGCGGAGCGAAATGCGTCAGCTGGCATGGCCAGTATGGCGGCTGAGGCCATTCCTCAACATTGGACTCCTGGGATCGGCTGAGCAACGTCCATCTCTTCACTTGTATTGGCTGACACTGAAATCGCTCAGACTCATGCTCCCCTCTTCTCATTTGCCGGAGGGGTAATCCTTTTCCTTCCATCCATAGCTTGGAGCGATGCCATAAGGTATACTTTTTACTATAGCCAATCATGGCAGTCACATGACCCCAAACCCCGCCATCAGAGCTGGGAGGCGCTAAGAGGTTAAGCTAGAACTATAGGCAAACTTTTTTTTTTTTTTTCATTTTGGACGGAGTAAAGTAGAGTTAGAAGCCCGGTCAGATTTTTCTTCACCATCTGTGTCTCATTTGGGAAATTTTCCTTCACTTCCTGCCCCACAGCCAAACAGGAAGTAAAGTATAACTAAAGGCAAAACTTTTTTTTAAGTTTTGGGTTGCATGGAGAGGGATTAGAACGCTTCTCAGTTTTTATTGCTGTCTGTGCCCCCATCAGGGAGATTCACCCTCTTTATTTGTCCAGTTTTCCATTATCATTGAAAGTAAAAGAAAATCCCACATTTTGGGTTGTCCCTAGAAAAGTAACAAAGGGGAAATCTTCCAATGGGGACACTGCTTCTGGTGAGCTGGGGGTCCCTAAGAAACTCCCTTAATTAGCATGGATTTCCTCCCATTTCCTGTTTGGTTATGGGACAGGAAGTGAAGGGAAATCTCTGCAATGGGACACAGATGGTGAAAAAAAATCTGAGGGGTTATAACACTCCCTTGCGCTATCCAAAATGAAAAAAAAAAACATGTTTGCCTATAATTCTACTTAATTGGAAATCCTTGCAAATTAAAGGAATTTCTTGGGGACCCCCAGATCAAATATTGTCCCAATTGGAATATTTTCCCTCTATTACTGTTCTGTAGACAACCCAAAATTTGAGATTTTCTTTTACTTTCAATGACAATGCTAAGCAGAACAAATAGAGAGGGTGAATCTCCCTAATGGTGGCACAGACAGCAATTCTGGAGGCATTTCCTTGGGACAGGAAGTGAAGGTAAATCTCTACAATGGGACACAGATGGTGAAAAAAAATGAAAGAAATGTTGTGCCTATAGTTCTACTTTAATCTGCTGCTCCAGATTCCTGTCACTTATTTTACGCCAACAATGCAACACACGCATGTGTTATTTTTTCTACTACTCCCTAAAGACAGAGTCAACTGGTCTGCAACCCAGGTGAGTGCAAGTTAGTACATGTCAGAACACGCTCGAGAGAGAATGACCGTGTGACTGATCACCATAGGGCTACACCGTGGGCATTCCAGGAATTAAATGGAGACACCCCGTATATTAAAATACAAGAGGGTTAAGATAAAGAATTCACTATTCCAATGGGCCTGTCCAGCCTTGAATGTTATGTGGCTTTTCGCCTAAGTACATGAGCTGCTTCGGGCAGAATCACACATTATTGGCTTCATAGATTATTCAGATGTTTCTATTTAAAAGACTAAAGGGAGAAAAAATTGTCAATTCTTCTCCGGTACTGCACATCACACTACAAATATAGTAACAAAACAGTAAGGACTGCATTTATATATCTGTTATAAATGTCTGCTACAAAACTGCTGGCTCGTCTCAGCTTAAAGAGTGACTCCACTTTCTTGGGGAAAAAAATAGCAAGTAAAAATAAATTACTATAGCATGTACAATTGCTACAAAAGCAATGTTGTAATTTTTTTTCTAGAGGGTCGTGTTGTAATTTAATGTTATTAATAATTACCTTTCATTCTCAATCTTCAGTGCTGTGATTTTGTAAAATTCAATGCACTTTGGCAGCCTGGAGGCATTCTGTACACAGTCCATTGGCAGCAGCCTGAGATCTACTGTACACTATGTTGCCAAACGTATTGGGACATCCCTCCAAATCATTGGATTCAGGTGTTCCAATCACCTCCATGGCCACAGGTGTATAAAATCAAGCACCTAGTCATGCACCTAGGCATGCAGACAGTTTCTACAAACATTTGTGAAAGAATGGGTCGATCTCAGGAGCTCAATGAATTTACAGGTTACCACGTGTGCAATAAGTCCATCCGTGAAATTTCTTTACTACTAAATATTCCATGGTCAACTGTTAGTCGTATTATAACAAAGTGGAAGCAACTGGGAACAGCAGCAACGTAAGATGACAGAGCGGGGCTAGCACACGCTGAAGCGCACAGTGCACGGAAGTCGCCAACTGTCTGCAGTCAAAAGATAAAGACCTCCAAACTTCGTGTGGCCTTCAAATTAGCACAACAACAGTGCATAGAGAGCTTCATGGAATTGGTTTTCATGGCCGAGGAGCTGCATCCAAGCCTTACATCACCAAGTGCAGTTTGGGGATGGCCCCTTCCTGTTCCAACATGACTGCGCACCAGTGCACAAAGCAAGGTCCATAAAGACATGGATGATCCAGTTTGGGGTGGAGGAACTTCACTGTGCTGCACAGAGTCCTGACCTCTAATTCCTCCTGGATTGGATTGGATTGTAACTGTACTGTCTGCCTTCACATTGTAAAGCGCTGCACAAACTGTTGGCGCTATATAATTCCTGTATAATAATAATGTTTGGAATCCTATGGGTACCCATAGATCGTAAACAAGTCATTGTCTGGGAAAATCCATATAGGATGATTCTTTTTTTTACATCTGAGATTGCTTGGCTGGATGTGTTTGTACTGTTTATAGCATGTCCATAGACAAACAATTGAGTTGAAATAATAACAATAATAAGTTGAAATCAGTTTGTTTTATCTTCAATGGAATCTGATTAAAGTGGAACTTCACCAACTCTTTGTTACCCTTCCCCTGCTGTTCTCCTGCACCACCATTTTTAAAAGTCTGGTTTGTGCACAGATATCTGCAGGTATCTGGGATCTGGCAGAGCCCAGAGGCACACGCACCGGGGATTCTTGCACATGTACACAGATACCATTAATTTTTAATGCATCTACAGTATGTGCATGCAGGAGAACTCCTGGAGCGTGGGCAGATGTGCTGCCGAGCTCTGTTCTGGATACCTGGCAGAGTGCAGTGTCGTGTCTGGGCATGCACACAATCTTGTGGCTCTCAGAAAAACTACCTCCTGGGAATGTATGACATGGCAACACCAGAAGACATACAAATGTAATTCCCACCTAGGTGAGAAATTAGAAAGTGCTGTTTCGCTTCACAAAACTGCACTATGGAGATGGGGACAATGCCCTCTATTGCTCTACTTTCTACTGTAATGCTGATATTATGCTGTGTTATTTCCTCCATCCAGCACAGGAAGGACCAAGTCAAACCAGCCCATAGACTCCAACACAGAGTGGTGGATTATGAGAGTTGCAGTTCAAGACAGCAGCTGTGAAATAGGCCAGTGAACTCTTTATACTTCAGTTCCCAAAATGCAGGAGCAGGGGGAGGTATGAGGTGGTTTTTACTGGTCTGCCTGGGAAAATTTGCTTTCCCAGGGACTTATGGAGCGCACAATGGTATCCAGAATTGCTCACAGCCAGGCTGGGTCGGGAGAGATCAGTCAAGAGGCCCAGGAGAACAAGGAAAGAGATGCTCTTGTTACACAATACAGACTGCTGTGTTCAAATCGTTCCATTGCTGCAGAGGGAATGGAGAAACCTCACACACACACAAGTTTTCAGGGGTATCAGAGGGGTCTGAAAGCATTCAGCTGAATCACAAGGATTGGAGAGAGGGCTCTTTGCCCATTATATGCCTTGTTAGTAAGACCTGGGACACTGGAGGCAGGACGATAAGCATATCACAACACATCTGTGCAGTACCTACCCTACGTTAATACCCCCCTTGTGGCAAACTTGCTCATCAGAATTGGAGCGGAGTTCCCCCTCAACCCTCGTTTTCGTGTTCTGTTTATCTGAGGCATTTCTCAAATCACTCCTCACATCCCCCCTGTTCCTGTGAGTCAAAGGTTATCTCCTGGCAGATGGTGTGGGGGACAACCAGGAAGACATGAGAAGTGGAGCCATCCAGTCTGAATGAGGTGTCATTTTTATCACCCAAAACTATGTAAGCCCACTCATTATCAAACCAACCAGAATAAGTGCACAGTCCTCAGGTCAACTGTATGGTTCATATCACGGGATATGAGCT